CATATACTTTGTTTAGCAGTAGCACGTCGTTGTATCAAATCAGTGATCTCATCACCCAAAGAACTCTGACAACCTTTTCCCAAATCCTCTAAGTGATCGACGTGTTGATTCGTCTAGTGCATAGCATAGCAGCATACCGCCATCGACCATGAACATCACAGAGCACCTCCATCCACTGCGTTTTATCTGCCCAGATTTCTGCTTTAGTTATTCTCATGAGTAGCTTGTCGAGCACTTCCAGACTAACCACGCAGCTTTTTAGTCAAAGGTGACCTTCGTCTACTTGTTATATGCTTCTCAATTACTCGAATGTAAGCTTTTGGCTGAATCGATGTAGAGGATACATTTCGCGTACACCCGACAACAGCGACAATATGAATGCGTTTTACGTCACACTAAAATGTTTTGCAGTTAGAGACAATTCCTAATTGAGTAGCGCGTTATTTTTCGAAGAATATTCTCACACTTCATTACCGTAAATCTACTTGGCCAAAACCCTTAATATTCTATCCTCCTGAATAGATCGTCGCTCAGCACAATATCCATACGTTTTTTTCTGCTCTATGAAGGTGGTCTGTTACGCAACTAAAGGCATGTAGTAGTTTCTAATCCACATCTATTTAGAAATGAAGGCGACTGACATGAGCTATGAACACGTCCGAGTACTTTGTCTTACAGTACGATTTCATTCTCCAGGGATTCGCTTGACTGTTGCTTTCCCCAATTGGTTGTCTACACTTTCATCATCGACCTATGACCCATTTATGCTTCGCTTTTAAATGTGCGTTCCATTGGATAACGAACACAAGAAGTCTCACAAAGATGTGAACTATAAAATCTTTATTGATGCTGCCAGAGCTCAATATTTCAGATGTTGTTACAGTGATATAATTAATAGCGGAAGAGGGAGAGGAAGAGAGGATGGAGTAGTTGGGAAAAAGAGAGAGAGGAAGAGAGTAGAAGGAGGAATCTCTGAACATTGAATGCAAAAGAGTCATTTCCAGTGGCTGCGAAGCGATACCTCTTCAGGATACTTTTAGAGGAAAAACAAAGCCTCCAAATGTCAAGTGTAACCACAAACGAGGTGCAGTTTAACCTGCCTTTCATCTCCAACGAAATAAGCACCGCTATAGAACGCCGCTAAAAAGTGCCGGTCTAGAGAGTTCAGTGATTGAAATACCATCGAACACTCTAAAACGCCAGCTAGTTCGTAACCGTTTGTATGACTGTGGTTGCTAAGTGCAAAAATGTACAATTTGCCCCAACGCTAGCAACTGCGATTGCATGAGTTCGGATGCGGTGTGCCTGATCTCTTGTAAAGCGTGCGGGTCTAAAAGATAAGCGTAAAGTTTAAGGTAGTACCTCTTTAGGCGCTCATAGAACACGGACACATAACGATTTTGAAGTAGAAGTCACCATCTTCGCACAGAATTCTAACGATTCAGCATGTAAAACTCTCGAAGCATTCCAGAGAATTCCCGAAAATTCATGCATGACCAACAGGATGTACGCTTCGTTATCGCGCGTCAACTCACACAATATCTCAGACTAATATTTTAACTTGAGGGAGGCACTTTAGCCGACTATGTGAAATCTGAAGACCTGACTCGACACGAAGGCGAAGTCGCCACGTCTAGACGAATAGCGAGCGTGGACCATCGATTCGCATCACCGGCTCTGATGGAGACGAAGACGTCGAAACGTTAGCCGACAATAAGTATATTTATCAACCTTGTGTAAGCTCACCAAAGGAATACATATTGATTAGTCACACGGAGGTTAAAGGAAAGTTGGTCTCGTAGTATGTGAATTCTGCTAGATTTCTCTTTATGTGGAATACTCAATGGAAGACAAGTAGAAAACGGTGAGCGTGTGAAGAAACTATTTTGTTCTCAATGCGATTAGAATTCACGTTTCGTGGTCTTTCTGTTGAAATTATGGAGGCATTTGGATGCGTAAACGGCGAGTGCGGCGCAGTGGTCGGAGGCGCCCTGCAACACACACTTTGCCCGCGCCCATGACCCACCAAGCCTTCCATCCCTCCGGTGTTGGCGAATTGGTACCAGAATTGTCTGAGAGGATAGCAGCATTGACTTGATGCATTGGTAGACCACCGCGAGTCCTTGTCAAGGCCAGATATGCATTCAGTCACCTCCAAACGATGCTTAATGAAGTCGAATGCATGGCGTATCCTTTAAAGATTGATCAACGGCGGGAGCTTTATCCTTTTATCTTTCATTTGGCTGAGTAAGTTGCAATTTATTTCATCTTTCCAAGCTATGAAGAAGGAGAAATCTGCTGAAACGTCAGCGATCATTGTATTGAATTTCTTGTTATTAACAACCTGCTGTCTGCTGAAGAAGAAAATGTTGACTTATAATCAACATAATTCTCATCGTCGTTAAGGTGACAGGTGCGTCTCAGGCATGTAGCAAATCGCTGAGAAAAATATCTATGCCCAAACGTTGGCTTGCATGGCCGACCGTTGACCGGTCACGGTGACACAATCAACCGTTCATCTCGATTCCTTCTCTTTCACGCTTTTTATGAACTGTCTTTCCGGACGTACTTGTACTCCTATTCTTCTTCCAAAATCACTGAACTACTCGCGTATTGTGCCTATTTTAGTGCTGCTTTTGAAAATAGTGACAATTTTAACTGATTACTTACCTCCTAGTGTTTTTAATGGCAGGGTACATTGCGAAATATAACTTCAATGATGCTGAGATATTTGCAAAACTCTGGACCTGTTAATCAGTTAAAATCGCGATTAAAAGTACAGCCTCAACTGGGTTCGTTGCCGATTTGGGCTCCCCAGATCAATCCCGCTAACGGGCCATTGCTGATGGCAGAGATCGATAGAACCAGTTGAGAGACAGACGAAACGAGGGAAAAGAAACATGGTATGGTAGTGAATGCGTTACTCCCCGGAAAGGAGAATAGCGCGTTCGTTCCCCACCGCAGATATCTGCGGCCCGGAGTTTCGCAAATATCTCAGTGTCATTGAAATAATGACAATGTCGTTGTTAAAACGAAGTATCTGTAAGGTTTCTCCATTAGTACTTGTGCTTTTTTCATTTGACATGGGTAGCATTAGCATCTACTGCGGTAAGGGGACGAACAATTTTGGCAAGATTGTGTCATTTCCACCCTATGAGCAGTGAGCGACCATAGAGTGCTTTACCACTATAACGCAGCAGGAATGAGATTCAGTTTGTTCTCGTTGATGGCCAGATTCATCCAAAGTTTTGAATATATAAAGGATTATCTTCCTAACAAGTATATGTCGTTTGTTCAACAAGATGTACAGCGGTTAGAAAGAATTCGTCAGCAATCGTTCTTTCATAGTGTAACTCTGTGCGTCCGTTGATCTCCGATCCTTCTCCTTCCATTATTACCGCGTCGTTTCGTCTCCAGTTTCTAGACATAGTTGGCGGATTTTAAATGGAGAAGACCCCAGAGAGCTGTAACTTCGACTTCTACCAGTGCTTATACTTTCCACAGCAATTTGAGCTTTGAATGTAAGAATCACAGATTTGCAAATGTTTCAATAGCAGGAAATATTGATTTACGGTAAAACGGTTGAGGAACTAAGGAGGTTTAGATATTTTTCTCTTCCCATTTTCGATAAAAAAAAAGATAAAGCTTTCGGCGTTGATCAATCTCTGAGGGATGCGCCATGCAGTCGACTTCATTAAGCATGTTTTGGAAGCAGTTGAACGCATATCTGGCCTTGCCAATGACTCGCGGTGGCCTGCCGATGTATCGCACCAGTGCTGCTATCCTTCCACACAAGTCTGGTACCAATTTGCGGACTCCGGAGGCGTGGAGGGCTTGGTGGGCCATGGGCATGAGGATCCACGTTTGTGCTGCAGAGCGCCTCCGACCACTGTGGCACACGCGCCCTCCCATTTTCAATAGCACTACATAGTTCATAGGAAGGCGATGGGCCTTCTATCGTTTTCTAGGTGGACATAAAATCAGCCACTTTTTACCACGAATCAGCAGAGAGTTCTTGTGAGGAATTTTTTTTCCAGCGGCGGTTCATTGTGAACGAGTTATCACGTTTCAGTAGTAATCCGAACCACAACAATGAGACCTTTGCAAAACTTGGACCTCAGGCCAGGTTGAGCCGCGATCACCCTTTCGGAGGCTCGCGTTTTGCACACGGCGCCACTGAGACTCTTGCTTTGCCTCTTTCTCTCTCAGCCATTCGTTTTACTCTAATGGTGCCATCAGCAATGGTTTTCAACGGAAATGATCTGTGGAGCACAAATAGGCATTGAACTGGCTGAGAGAAAGGCGAAACAAGGTCTCAGTGGTGCCGTGCGTAACTCATGAGCCCCCGGAAAGGGTAATAGCGGCTCGATTTGGCCTGGGATGCAAGTTTTACAAAGATCTCCATCATTGTGGTTATAACGAAAACTGTTCAAAACAGGATTGGTGCCCATAGTCTATCCGAAAGGAAGAGCATCTATGAGAAAGGGGTAGATTGGACCACTTCATTCGCCTCAGTACCATATAAGTTAACCTCCCGATTCGATTAGTTAGCAATGGGCTCTGTGTAAGAATGATAGAATGCTATTGCAGGAAAATACAATTACAATGGTGTTGAAATATTTCTAAAACTCTGACCACATACCAGCTTCCAGGAACCCCAGTTGGTAGAACGGAAAAGCAAGGACCTCAGAGGTGCAGTGGGTAACACGTGAGCCCACAGAAAGGGTAATCGAGAGTTGAAAGCTGGCTTCGGGTCCCAGTTCCTCAGATATCTTAGCCAATCCTATGGGCGGGCACCAATCCTATTTTGAACAGATATTTTGTTGTTGTATTTCACATAATACGTTGCCATGAAAAAAACAACAGGCCGTAGATGTAAGGTTCAACATTGTTCTGGAAAATTCCGGAAATTTTCCGCTGAGATCGATTTCTGCGTGCTCATTCTCCTTCATTCTAAATCTTCCGATCTCCTTGACATCAATCCAAATGGTTTCATTCAGATGGTCATCGGACAGAACCGTCGCAGTCGTTCACATGTAGGTCCGGTACCGTTTGAGAGGGAACAAAGTAGGAGGTTGGTTGGTGTGTGCTCAGGTGCATGGGGTTGACGATGACGCTAACAAAGAACAAAAAGGACATTCACTCTAGTTTAAATTTAAATTAAATTAAAATTTTAAAAATTTAAATTTAATTTAACTAATTTAAATTTAAATTTAATTTAAATTTTTTCAAAAGACGTATTATTATACCACTATATATATATATATGTAAATTATATTGTGTTGTATTATCGTTGTAGGGCGGTTTCAGCTGATATTTCTGGTCCCTTACAGCAATTTCCAGAAACTGGCTATGGTAGGCCACTTCCGGTAAGTTTTATCTTTTTTATCTTTTATTTTATTTTATTTTATTTGACCTGTCTTTACGTCCACTGTGCGAATGTCAGCACTTCTCATATTCAGTTCCTTTCCTCACATCCATTGTTCGCGAAGATCTTCCAACTTCACATGTGCCTTCGGTTGCTGCTTGAGGATCTTCATTTCATCCGGAATGTCGTGGAATGCTGGTCGAGCAGTTCTTCCTGGACTCCTGAGATAGCCGGGCTGGAACATTCCCAATTAGATTGCAGAGAGTGATTATTTTTCCCAGACAACTCCGACACCAACTTCCCGACCGCAGAGGGATGAGAGGTTGGATCGGAGTGGATCGAAATAGCACCATGCTCGTGATGACGGAGCATCACTACGACTGTGCTATCCGCCCCATAGTTTTGTTTTGGCAATATGAAATGACCATTTGCATCGTCAATGTCTTCTCGCTTTCATTCTATTGATTTCATTTCATTATCAATTCAATAATCACTGTGTAAAGTGTAATGAAGTTTGTTTAGTTTGATTCGTGGTCTTCTGGAAGAAAAGTGCAAAAACGATTTGCTTTTCTAGCAGAATGAAAGAATAGTGATGTTCCAGAGCACGACGAGCCCTGAGCCAGTTAAACATGATGATGGTAATTGTGGGCAAAAGTGTCCTCGATTCCGAGTACAACATTCATTTCAAGAATTTTCATACAATGAGTGGCAATGCAAAGCAACGTGACACCCTGCGTTGCTTCAGTGAGCCTCAACATTCATTCAGAATTCCATTCATTTTGTTGTGTTGGGTTCGGATGTGGATTCGTACATCAATCGAGTATTTATCTCGTTATCGCCCCATTCACACGTAGAATGCTGTTCCGGGATAAGATCCAGATAGCCTAGCTAGTTGCTAATCTTGGTGGGTCATAGGGAAGTTTGCTGCCTTGTAAATCGAATCCTTCTGGAGTGACAGTTTCCTGTAGCAGCAACGAAACATGTATTTAGTCACCCACGGCTCTAGGACCATCCAGCAAATCGAGTTCATTCAATAGTGGTTGTTCTTCAGCTCCCAAAAACCTCTTCTCTATCGAGAGGAATGAATCACACTTCCGAAGATGATGTTCTTGTCGTGTTGTTCGTTTTCTCTGAGGTTCAGAGAATGTCGAAAACTTGTATAACACAATATGGGTCAAGCAGTTGAACAACGCTGGATGAATTTCAATGTTTTGAAATTAAACCATGTGCTACTCATTCTTTACCGTTTGGAATGATCCAATATTTTCTAGTTGTACCATATGCAGAACGTTTTTTAATAATGGGATGGCTTAACGTCCGCATGCTGTGCATTCGCTGACGTAGGGCGCTGTTCAGCACATTTTTTGCACAAAACCCAGTTTTAAATTGTTTTTGTCTCAACATTGGCAGTTCATATCTTTCAGAATACGTTCGTGAAGCCACTGGAGACGTCTTCGCGTCGTCTTTCTCATTCACTGGACAGCGATCTTACATCGTTACCATCATCGCTTCCGGTAAGAAAACCTATATCGTAAAATCAAAGCACGACTTCTATGCGATATCCCTGCACGGGCTTGTGTAGCGAACTGGTTATACGTGCTCTGCAATACACACTAAGTCGGTGATTAATTCGATCCCGGTTCTCGGATTCATCAAGCCTGTTATCGTTTCGGGGTCTGCAAATTCTATCTGTGGTTTGTTTGGGAGACAAAAAACACCTCATATGTCACTGGCCATCCTCGGCATCATCCACAAACATTCATCCTTGATGTGTTTCCAGAGAGCTCCATGTAGCGTATTAATTACGGGTATCGCATTCGTAATGATGAATGGTTGACAACCTAGTGCGATTTAAATTTGTTTTATAATTTGTTAATCTCACAACTAAGTTCTCCTGTTTCTTCTCTTTAGCGGCGGTAAGGGATATCGATTAGAGTTACTTATAGGTATAGAAAATCGCGTAACGTTAAGGTTTGAACTAAACTACTGATCAACATAACTGCTACTAGCTACAGAAGTTTGTTTAAGCTTCTTCAAATAGGTTGCCATACCTCGGCAATAGTCAACTACAGAGTTACGTAAAGTGTGCATATTTATTGCCCACGAGAGCATGTCACGACATTGTAGCCAATATGCCATGTTCAGTCGCTTGTTCATTTCGTAAACATGAACTTTTCACGAAAAAAAACTCTTTAATCGATCTATACATTAACTCAATGGCAGGCATCTAGTTTCAGTATATACTAGCATTTTCAAATGTCATTAAATAAATACGTACTTGATAGCTGATACTTGAATGGCCCGCCCTCACTGGTTGTGTGGGGCCCAGCGTAATCTCCATTTGTCTGAGATTTGCTAGTTAAGCCATTGTGGTTCCTCGGAATTCCGAGGTCAGCCTGGCCAAAGTCTGCCTCAGCTCTTTGCCACCACAGGCAGTCGCAGTTCCTGTGGATCAGAGGGAGATTTGCCACCATGAAACTTTGATACCAGAACGGTTGTGGATCTTGGTATTGGTTTACTCTTTCACTCCCACCTAGGCCTCCTGATGGAAACGCCGGGCTCTTTCTCAGCTTGGGAGGCCCTGCTAGGCGTTGAATCCACGGCTGAACATCGCAGCCCGAACACCTCCCAGCTACGATGAGGCGGTAAACCGTTGGAAGGCATTAAATACGTGGTTTATACAACGAAAGTTCAAGTTGAAATGAAAAGGCATCAAACAAATTCCATTACGGATCTCGAAAGCTACTGTAGAGGGTGAGCTGCTAACTTAAAACATTGAAAACTGGTGAATAAATTAGTGTATTAATCTTTGCAAATGAGTTCACTATGAATCCTCTCACGCCTCTTGCCTTGTTTGACTCAGCCAACGTTTTTCAGGTTTACAAACCCAATCAAAAAGCTGATTCCTCATCATGCCTGACGGGCGCGACGCCTTCAAGTTCGATCGCCGTCCAAGTGCACGAGTTCCTATTTGTTGGAAATACCGAAACAGCTATGAATACACGACACACCTACCAGAATAACATACACTATTTCGTAGTACGTATACCTAATAGAGATGACAAGCAAGTGGCAGCATGTCCTATCTACAGTATTTTCTATCCATTTCGAAATTTGACGGGCGTATAATGCAGTGGCTAAAGCTGTCCCCGCGATGCATGCAGTCCTCAGTGCGATCCGTCGTCCTAGGTTAACCGATTCCTTCTCGCCGTCTTTCGGATACCGAAAAGTAAGTATCAGAACTGCTCGAAAAAAGAAAAGTACTAACTCGGTAGATTGGTAGGAAAAAAAGTACTGACTTCAAAGATCGGTTGGTCTGCGGAAGCCTCATCATGTAGGCCAAACAAGCATCCAATGAATTCTACAATGCTTCGAATGGAGTCGAATGCGTGGTACATTTCTGAAGCATCGGCAAACTCCGAACACTTTATCCCTCAGTTTTCGTTACACCTGCAGCTCTCCTTCTTCTGTCTAATTCCTCTTCATGTCGTTCTCCATGTTCATTGATCGCCCAAGGAATACTTATGAGGTGGTCCCTGTAATTAGAGAGCCATCCAGTCCAATTTCTTCGCCTTCGCACCATAGAATTTTCATGAACTGGATCTGCTTCCGATTTATGCGTAGCCCGATCCTTTTTCTGGCTTCTTTGTGCTCACTGGTCATCCTCTCTGTGTTCTTTGGTACTCTTTGAAAAATGAGGATGCCGCTGACAAAACATTAGAAACCTTCTGCCAGTACGTATGTCATTCTCATCTCAATCGAGTGACTTCATTATCCACCACAGTGTTGCACTATGCAGCTTTAGCGGTATGGTGTCGCCTTGCCGAACCCCTTTTCCTATGGATATGGTAAGAGGTCGACGGAAAAGTCGTATTTTCGGAGTGCAGTTCCGGTAACAATCAGAAAGAGTTTTTATGTAGAACGGGTCCACTCTTTGGTCGAAGAGTGCTGATAGACTGCATTCGTTTCAACAATGGCAAACGGTTTTTCATAGTCGGCAAATGTTAGGACTAGAGGCAGATGGTATTCCCAACAAACTTCAATGACTCTGGACACAGTTTAGACGTAGTCTATGCAGTAAATTTCCCGCTGAAATTCCTGTTTGCTTAACTGCTTGCGCATTCGCCAACATTCTTCATATGGGCGACAGGATAACGTTCCTGAAGAGCGGGCAGAGAACACAGTTGTTGAGTAACAGGCATATCCGATTACAGTTACAAAGATCCTTTTGGTTATCTTTCTCGGGCAGGATTGCAGTGTGCGACTTCCTCTACTTGCTTCGATTTTCTCTGTTTGAAGATAGGCGACCATGTGATCTACGAGAAGCACTTGTAAGTTGTGGTTTTCAGTTCTAAGGAAGTTGGCGGTGATATATTCGAGTATTGGACCTGTACTTTGTTTCATGCTTTCTAGGGTAAGTCGAACCTCAACGGGAAGGTTTTTCTCCAGCGGGGATATTAGGGTCCAGGACGGGAGATTGTGGGACGGAAAAGGTGGTTTAGAACGATTCCGTTGTTAGTTCCATTTCACGGCAAGAAGTTTTTGTGATTCCATCTTCGCTTATCACTGCTGAGAGTGGAGCGTTATACTCGCGCAAATACCAAAGGCACTACTTTAAACCGGTTCTTTTTTTGTGCTACTTCTAATAGTTTCTTCTGGCTGTACCGATGTAGGTCTTCCTGCAAAGCTCTTTTGCAACTGTCATTTATTACTAGCTGTGTTAAACGAGTTGCAGTAGCATCAAGCTTCCGCCTCCTTCTTTTCTCGAGCAGCACCTTTGCGCTAATGAGGTGCGATCCGATCTTCTTGCTTGAGGAACTGAAGCTAACTCGGCACAACTTTGAAGTCCATCGACAAAGTAGCTCGTTGCCTTCGGACTAATCTTCGTTAATCTGTCAGTCACGTTTGGATAGGATTTCGTTCAGAATGTTCTCTTCATACATGATCCGACTTTCTTCTCTTGGTCGACGACTTAAGTTCTCTAGTTTACAGCTGAATCGAATCTTTGCGCGAAGAAGACAGTGATCGTGACGCAGTGTAGAGCTCAGGGACTACCGATGTCTCAAGTAGGCACCACCTTCTGTTTGTCAGAATGTGGTCGATCTCCACATGAGTCGTTCCATTCATTACGATGCTCCCATGTCCAGCAGCGCTTTCCCTTCTTCTGGGGAAACTAGTTTACATGGAAGATGCGTGCTGCCTCATTTCTTTCTCCTAATTCAAATTTTCGGATCCTGTATTCACTCTCGTTGCTTTTCTAATATGGCACTAAGGCCACTGACAACGAATTTATAACAAGCTTTATCGCTATTGATAACTCCTTCCAAATGGTAGTCAAACGCATTTAATTCGTGCTCACCAGCTGTATCGATCGGTGAGTAGCAGTTGATGCCATTGATCTTCTAATAACGCGTTGGTTGAAGATGGCGAGCAACCATGCGAGGGTGGAAGATCTCTTACTAGTCGATGAGGTAACTTAAATGAACGCGAACGCGTGAATGACGTGAACGCGTAAATGACAAAGCGAGCGCCACCGACATTTCGTGACGGGACTTTTTCCCCGCGCTTGACAGCAGTCACTTTGTTTAACTGGCATATGTAGGTCATCTTGTTTTTGTTTCTTGTAAGACTATCACATGGTTGTCCTTCATCAATTAGGCGCGAACCAGTTAAACAAGCTGGGTGAAGCCAAATCCGTTGAGCAAGCAGGATTCCGACAGAGATTCCGTTGCATGGACAATGTCCGAACTGTATCACAATTCAAAGAAGTCTCTCAGCACTCCCATCTGCTCTTTATCCTAATCTTTATCGACTCTGAAGAAGAGTTTGACAGCGTCGAAACGAATGCAATGCCATCAGCGCCTTGTCGACCAAGGAGTGAACCCCTCTTATACACGTACACTCGGAGATTGTTACGGGGATTGCAGAAAAAAAATATATAATTCTTTCTACTTCTCTTCAGCAGACGACACTAGGTGTTATTTTATTTCTTTATTTATTTACAAGCTGACGTTTCGGCAGATTTTGCTTTCCTCAGAGCGTGGAAAGGCCAAGTTGACTGCAATCTATACGGCCGAACATCTCCATAACCAAATAGAGAAAATGATGAACCAAAATTCCAATCACATTGAACACAGAGTCTTTGCACACTCACCGCTTTCTATGAGTCTTCCATTAAATATGTCACGTGGAGACCGACCGCACAGAGTTCACGCGGAATCGTACTGTGCCCATCTCATCAAAAGAACAGGCTTATATTACTGCCCAATATCACGCGTGATAATGAGGCATTCCTCCCTGCGGTTCATTTTCGGATTCTTGGAAATAATCCAGAATGTCTCTAGAGTTTTGAACTCGAAACGTCAGCTTGTACGTAAATAAAGAAATAAAATAGCACCTCATGTTTGCTGGACAGAAGTAGAAAGAATTATTCAATCAATGCCGAGGTTAATAGAAAGTCGGACGTGGGAGTTACTACAAAAAAGAATACATATAGTTTTTTTTCGCCAACTCCCTTACCATATCTTTCGGAAAAACGGTTCGACAAAGCGATTTAATCTCTTGATATTACCAAAGTTGTTTGGTGCCGCAATGCAGTGGATAATGAAGGTGCTCGATTGCAAAGAGAAGGTCATACGTATTGATGAAAAATTTCTTTTAAATCTTTGTATAGCCGACGAACACGTTGAACCGGATTGTTCTATGATTATGCAAACCAACTTTTTACGTGTACCTTCAATGAACGTGGAGAATAATATGAAGGAAGACACAGACAGAACAAAGAGAGCAGTATGGGCCCCATTGGGCCCTCTCAAAGAAGCCACCGCCCAACTGAAAGATCCGAAAATTCGCGCTCATCTTTTCGATTCAACGGTCACCCCAGCGTTCTGTTATTGCAGCAGTGACGTGGCCTAACATCTCAGCTACGTCAGGAATACTGAACACTACCCACAGAGCGTTCGAACATTGTCTTATAAAATTTATTCAGCATTGACGACGTCTAGTTGGAGTGCGTAGCTGAGATCTAAGGAAGGTATCCCATCTTCGAAATCCACGAGAATATACCCCAATAGCGAAACACAAATGAACCGACTACATAATAAGAAGAACAAATGACAGATGCAAGGAAAGAACAGAGGGTGGGCTCCAAGAGAATGCAGGCATCATCTGAGAAGGCCACCAAACGCTGGGCGGGCGTGTTCGTGGCTAAGTCAACCATCTGCATTCACAAATGGCAGCAATTTTAGGACTGCGGAATGGGTTTCGTGGATATTACCGTATTTGAAGCAGATAACCACCATGGGTGACGATTGCACGAGAAGGAAACGAATGAAAATTTTTCTGGGACTCTCATAACCATTGAAGATGGGCTACGCAAGTATCCAAGTAGGCAAACATTCAAGGCGATCACATCGAATTTGATACGATTTGCGCCTTCAAGAATAGAGTGAAGATAGACGTCTGAGGGGAACGTTCTGGTATTACACGTACAGAGCAAAAAACAATCTCTGTAGCGTGTCGTATGCGTTCGTCAGCTTCATTTCCAGTGACGTCATGCACAATCCGAGATTTCGCGGCCTCTCAACAGTAGTCTCACTTGATGAGAGCACCTAGCATGCGTGGTGCTGAAGTTGACTTATTGCGGTCGGGTAATTTGCTCTTCCCTGGAGTCCTGACTGAAGCTTGTAAGGGCGTTTCTAGGCATTTACTACGTTGTAGACCCCAAGGAACTTAACGATTTCTTCGTTCAGTCTTTATACTAGTTGATGCGAACATGATAGTGAGTCAGAAACCGAGAAGAAAGGAAGGTAGAAATGAAAAAATGACGGATCGCTCTAGGATTTCAAAAAGATTAAGAATGACTGAGGAAGAATCAAAGGGCGCGTCGAGCGCAGCAGTCGGAGGCGCCTTGGAATGTACATGGGATCGATTCCTCTGTCGAAAGCTCACAATGCGCTCCATCCCTTCCGGGTTGGCAGATTGGTACCAGAATTGCTTAGGAGGATAGCAGCACTGGCTCGATACATCGGTAGGCAACCGCGAGTCATTGTAAAGACCAGATGTGCAATCAATCACCTCCAACGATGCTTAATGATGTTGAATGCATGGCGTATACCTCAAGAATTGATCACTGCCGAGAGCTTTATTTTTTTATCCTTTTAAGGAAGGATTTAGAAGTCGAACTCCGTATGAGTATTGTACAGTACAAAAATAAGCCAACATCGCACACCAAGTCGCTTTTGGATCCGTTATGTTCTTGATTGCTTCATCGAAACTCTTCTAATGACTTGTAGCCTCGCTTTTATTTTTAATTTTCAGCCTCTTGGTGGTCCATATATTTTTACAAACGTTGGCGAAATATATCCAATAATAAGGCGTGGGAACCTATTCGAACGTGGTGCCCTATGCTGCCACAAATTTGGCACAGTAGTGGCGTTTCTCCGTTCTTAATCACAGCCAAGTCTCATGCTTCTTCTTAAATGTTTCATTTCCTTTTTCAGAACATTTATGTGAACAGCACTACGAACAGAATTCGCTTGTCTCGATTATCTACTAACGTCACGCAAGCGACACACGCGCGAAAATCTATGGTTGTGTCTTATCGAGAGGAAATGCCTCTAGAGGTAATCCATTCCACTTAATTAAAGCGTATCCTTGAAATATGGAACGATGACTATTCGCAAAATGTGCTTGCGTGATGACCCGTATGTGTCGTCACGCATACATTGCCGTCGTATGTGGAGTGGTGTACGTTGGTGTGTTGTCGGAAAATACTCGTCTCTCTACTATAATCAATTGTATGATGTCAATATTAATTAATCCAAACATTGTCCTTAAAATCAATGTCATTAGCCTCCATTGTATTTTAGCACAAGCGCAGCTATACTTAATTTTTCGCCGTATACCGTGTGTATTGAGAAGTTATTCCCAAAAAGGCTTTTCTTTTTTGGAAATTATTAAGTGACAAGAGTAAATTTTCACATATCACATCTGACACAATATCTGTGTTTGATGAAATGAACTCTTTGCGACAGAATAGACAGCCAGAAGGAATATGTGTTGAAGTCGGCACACACGGTGCCCTCTGCGCGCGTACATGTAGGTGCGGGTGTCAATGCGTATGGTCACTCTTCTGTCAGCAACCTTACATTCATTTGCAAAATTAAGTCAGGAAACGCCCTAATCATACATTCGGCATTGCTGTTGCGTTATAGAAAAAGAAACAAGGATTTTCGCCTTATTTCAGGAACTTTTCGAACACTTCCAAGCAGTGAACGATCTCATCCGACAAGCAAGGAGCAGAGCGAAGCGGGTTAGTAAAATGAGAAGGTGCTGAACACGACAGATTTCTTCATACAACAAACTACGAGGGCGCTTGCTTCAGGTTTTAATCTACTCCGATGACAGTTTGGCAGTGTGTCAAGCATTTGCACTCGCTTATAATGTACAGTATTATAATTTGAGCCTCGATCGTGTACTGATTAGTTTTCAACGATTAAGAATCAAAGTGGATCTGAACGACTCTCTAAGAGTGGCGCTCATGAAATGGGCAGAGTTGTGCGAAAGTAACGGAAAGGTACTGCCACTCATTTCTTTGTTCGATATATATAGTACTTCTATTTTGTTATGGAAACGGAAATCGATACAAGTCTGCAGTTCCTTTTATAGAGTTATTTTAATTCTTACAACTGTGACAACTAAATGTGTGCTATTGCTATTATTTTCTTACTACTATGGAGGCCCATGTGGCGCAGTGGTCGGAGACGTCCTGCAATACACACATGGGATCGGCCTCACGCCCATGGTCCACCAAGCGCTCCATCCCTCTGGGGTTGGAAAATTGGCACCAGACTTGTCTGGAAGGACAGCAGCACTGGCTGGATAAATCGATGAGCCACCGCGAGTCATGGCAAAGGCTAGATATGCATTCAATCACCTCCAACGATGCTTAATGGAGTCGAATGCATGGCGCTTCACTCAGGGATTGATCGACGCTGGGAGCTTTATCCTTATGTTTATTACTGCTATTATTTACTATTATTATTACTGCTATCATTATTATTGTATTTTAATTATAGAGTGACGAGATTATTATGGCGATGCGTCGGACCAATTTGGACAGCATGAGGCCTGCTACCATTGACTGTTCTGTGAGACGAATAGCTTGGCAATGAACTAATAATACAGTGAACCTAGATTTACCAAGGATTTCTACATTTCTATGCTCAGTTCTACAAATGGATTCGTATTTATTTGTTCCATTGACGAGACGGTTAATTTCTGTCATCAGGGAATGGCAATAATAGGGTAGAGCGGCGTTGTTATGTATACGTCTACTTGTTAGATTCCATACTTTTTCTGATCAAACCTTGAAGCGTTAACGATGAACTTCTGGATGTTTATATGCAAGCATCAGTTGTGTTGAGATTGAGAGCATGTCTTCGTTGCGTAAATTTAAACATACACCCAAATCCACACATCAACTTTAACCCTCAATCGACTTAGCTACGTAAATGAGGTTACTTGAGCTCATGTTACGGTGTTTATTCTTTGCCCATTTAGTGGCATTCTTCCTTCATTTTCTAGCTTAACATTTAAAATATTGCTAATATAACGTATTTTCCCCTGGTTCCAGTGAAAATAAAACAGTTGTGTCCGTCTGTTACAAGTCTTATTCAAGTTAATGGCTTATTGTTACCATTTTCTCATTCTCTATGTGATTTTGCTCAATATTGGATCGATTAGTTGTTTTGAGATTCGACCACTAACAGTAGTTTGTAGTAACATATAATAAAGTGCAATAAATCGTTTTTTAGTGTAAATTATACATGCAGATTAAATAAAAAGAATAAAATCCTTTGGTGTGGATGGATAGATGTTCTTTTTTCAGCTGACTCACATTCTGCAAAAAAAGGGAAACTGTTCTTTCTAATCTCACTGCAAGTTGCTCAGAGTGCATTTCCAGCTAGTTATTTCCTTGGATTCCTAATGGCTTACGCCTCGTCGTAGCTCAAAGGTGTTCCTGGATGTCGGGCTAGTGACATGGTGGGAAATCTCTCTCTCTCTCGGATCCACAATGGCGGGGACTACTTGCGGTGGTGACGACTGGGGGAAGGCTTCGGCTACGCTGACCTCAGGACTGTGCGGAACCATATTGAATAAACCAGCAAGTCTCCAAAAAGTAGAAATTATTCTGGACTAGGCACAGCCAATGAAGAGAGCTCACCCAACTATCCAGCTAAGTTCCACTCGTAACAACAGTTCTGAGGAAAACGAAATTGCCGAAACGTGAGCCATCAACCAACAACAACAACAACAACAGTAACAACAACAAATGCAACAGCAACAGCAACAGCGACGACAATAGCAACGGTGGCCGGATGGTGCGGTGGTGAAGTGCGCTGCTCCCCGGTAAGGACAACAGCGCGGGTTCGTTCCCCACAGCATACACCTGTGGTCCGGAGTTTTGTAAATATCTCAGCATGATATACGAGTTATATTTCGCAACATACCCTGCCATTAAAAAAGAAAAAGGCAGTAAATAAAAGGGTTAAGATAGCAACGATAATTTATTGCCAACGTCTCATCAGCTCAACCAGGTCAGTACATAAGAACGTGTAAATACTTGAAAGTAGGTACTTGCTTAGGCGTCATTGCTTCACAAACAGTGCTGATCTAGAGCTTATGTAGCGCACTGGTTAGGGGTGCTCTGAAAACATACGCTGTCTTTAGTTCGATCCCTTGCATGGCGTACCAAGCAGCCTATACCTTCGTAAAATTCTGTCAGACCTCTTATGAGTGATAAAACACTAACTTTATCCTAAATTTTATTTTCTGCTTATTCTTTTTTGTGGCTGGATGCGACGTGGAATATAATCACAGGAATGTTGAGATACTAGCAAAACTCGGAACCTCAGACGGGCTTCGAATTACCTAGTTACCTCTATCGGAGGCTCAAGTGCTGTACACCACAACAACTGAGGCACTTGCTTTGCGTTTCCCTCACCCAATTCTCCCAATCTATCGGTGCTATCGGCAATCACCAGTCAGTGGGAATGCTCTGTGAAGCACAAATCAGCAAATTGGTATTGGACCTAATTAAGATGAAACTCCAGTCGAAATCACAATTTCCCAATTTTTATTTACTACCTATGCTTTTTTGCAACAGAGTACTGTGTGGACTACAACCATATGAAGCTGAGATAACTAACTAACAAACCACATAAGTAACTAACCTTGTGCATTTGCAAACTCCCTCATTTCATTTCATAGACCAGATTTGCACTCAGTCATCGTTACGATACTACGAATGGAGTCGAATGCATGGTGCACCACTTAGGGATTCGTCAATCCTGAGTGCTCTATGCGTTTATCTATTTTTCTCAATTGTTATGGCTCATGAAGAGAATACAGTAAGAATGTGCTCCAAGATTCGTAGTTCTTCACTGCAGGAAATGTGTTGGACAGGGCTTATTTTGACATTAGCACTTCCATGCAACCTAAGTAAATATGGTCTTAAAACAGTTTGTGAAGAGTATGAACTGCGCCACATCCAGCTCCTTTAATGGCAGAGTAGGTCGGACCAAAACGAGTAAAGTTCATTCGCCTCTGCTGCACATTCCGGTGTTACCTAAACCCCGTTTGCTAAAGCCACACGAACAACATCACCTTTTCGCATGATGCCCAATTTTTTAACCACTTTTGTCGGATAATTTGTGTCACAGGAACTGGAAAAGTCTAATTTCTTCTCGAATAAATGGCCTTGTTGGGCACCATAGATAGAATTTCTGCACCAAGAATTTTGTCCGAATCACGATGAAACAATAAATTTACTCATTTCGAGATTAGTGTATGTGTACGTGTATGGACACATATGTGTGCATGTGTGTGTATGTGTATGTGCATGTATGTGTATGTATATGTGTATGTGTATGTGTATTTTCTTCGTTGACATATTTTTTCTCTTCTTCGAACAATCGTCGGATTCGCAGTAGCCTAGAATTTCCGACCAGTCGACATCTCAGTGCAAAGAAATTATTCACTTCTGTTCACTAATCCTGAAAAATTTCGTCAATCACTTGTTTATCATTTTTCATGCATCCTTCAATGAACAATTTAATCCCTGTTTGTTTTATTTTGACTAAAATAAAATATGGGAACTGCTTAAGACTGGGCGAAGTTTAGATCATTGCTTTTTTTATGAAGTCGTATTCCTTAAGAAATTCCGAATGTAATATCATTCCACTCTTTTGGAAGCTTAAATTGCAAGCAAATGAATAATCGAAGTGCTGTGAACCACATATGGAACACATCAGAACGAAAGAAAAAGGGTACAACCTGTATCTAAGCTGAATTCTCAGTTGATTTGGTTATTTAGCCTTCAAGGTCTAAAGCAAACGACCCGTTATTCGAATAGTTTGCATAAAAAATGGACTTTTGTATGTTTATTTCTTGTTAACAAGGCGGCTGTGAAAGCACTGCCACTTCCAGTTGTTGTCTCCCACATAAAGGATAAAAGCGATAAAGTTCTCGGCGTTAATCAATCCCTGAGGGAAGCGCCATGCATTTGACTTCATTAAGCATCGTTTGGGGGTGAGTGGATGCATATCTGGCCTTTACAATGAGGTGGCATACTGATGTATTGAGCCAGTGCTGCTATCTTCCCAGACAAATCTGATACCAATTTGCCGACCCTGAAGGAAGGAAGGCTTGGTGGGTCATGGGCCTAAGGATCCGTTCCACGTGTGTGTTGCAGGGCGCCCCCGACCACTGCGCCACATGCGGCCCTACAGCACCACACTCGACATTCACGAACATGTTATCTTCGTATTATTTGGACATATCAAAATTTTAAATAAACAAACATAGTCAAAACAAAGCTTCATTCCGTGACCAATTGAAGGTTCATTTTTTAGACAACACTACAATGAGGCGTAGAACCGCTAAGATTGGCGTGCTATTCATAAACTTCCTAATGTCCTCCATATATTTACCTAGAGGATACACGTGAGCTGACTTAATACTTTTCATCTGTCAATACTAAGCACTTCTTATTGTTGCCGGTCTTCACTTTCCAAATCCAATTATAAATATTTGAAGGTAACCAAATTAGGAGGTACTCCAAGACGATTTCTAAAAAGATGGAACAATTCAGTGATATCGCAATTAATATTAATTGAATACCAGCGTATTTGTTTTAAGATCACAAATATTTGGCACTCGAATTGGTAAGGAAACAATAGAAGTCAGATCAGGTACCGAAATATTCCTAACTGTCTTCGGTAGTGATCTTCCGTCTCATGGCTATTTCCTGTCAACCACTGATCGATGTGAGGTAAAACAACATGCGCACTTTCTGAACGATGGATAACTTACATACGAGCACCGATTTTGCCACCTGGAAATCGAACCCAGTGACAATTGCAAAGAAATCGTCAAACAGACATCGATAATTTTTCGGACTTTAATTTCCCAAAAATACGGGTTATTGGTGTCGCATGGGCTATCAAGGTGCTGCAGGATAAAAGGACAACGAGTAAAGCATTCGGCGTTGATCAATCTCTGAGAGATGTGCTATGCATTCGACATCACCAAACATCTCTAGAGGTGAATGAATGCGTCTGGCCTGCACAGTAACTGGCAGTAACCTACCAACGTATCCACTCAGTGTTTCTAGTCTACCAGAAAACTCTTGTAGTAAATAGCACGTTTGCAATCCGCATTCTTAAAAAGAGAAAAAAGATACCACCGATGATATGGATAGATGAAGTTGGCTATCGAGTAGAAAGAATATGTCGTAATGCGTATGTCCTATATAAAAACCTACTTCAACAACACATTTCATAGAAATCATATTTAAATAGACAATAGAGAATATTTCAGCAGCTTTTTCCTTTTCCAGGACTACAACAGATCTGATATTATTGTTAAAAAACTTGTACCTCTCGCAACTGATAGAGTGTTCAAGAAGTGAGCCAGTGCTACCCATTTCTAAACACATAAGAATATGGAATACATAATAAGATCTACACAAGTATTTGCCCACCTGGCCTTAATTCTACGTGCGTTTGCTCTAGTTGACGACAATAGGGAACTTACTACTTCGTTATATATATATATATATATACATATATATATATATATACAATGGATGAATCTCTCGACGCTGATCGATTTCTGAGGGATGCGCCATGCATTGGATTTCATTAAGTATCCTTGGAGGCGATTGAATGCATATTTGGCCTTTACCATTACTCGTGGTGGCCTATCGATGTATCGAGCCTATCCTCCCATAGAAGTTTGGTGCCAGCTTGCCGAGCCCGGAAGGACGAAGGGTTGGTGAGCCACAAGTACGGGAGATCGATCCCACGTTCGCGTCGTAGGGCGCCGCCGACCACTGCGCCGTACGCGCCGTTATGTATACGTATATATACTCATATGTATACATATCCTATCTCACTTGTCGTTCCGTTGATCGTCGAGTGACTCCAGCGGCCTCCAGTAAACCTTCAGTTTCTCGTTGTCGCATACAAGAATAACCTAGTGGATTCTGCTCTAGACATTCGTTGAGCATCACATATTTCTTCTATGACTTTCGTGAAGAACTTTGACCATCAAAGCAGTGGTGTCTCTTTGCACTACGTTCGAAATTCCGAGGAATCCAGTCACCAATGGATTTTGTACATCGGTTATAGCTCATGCGCATTACTTCTCCAGCACGCCATTTTATCTTCGACAGTTTGGGGTACACAACGGCATCTTGAATTTTTGATCGTTGATGAAGATTGCAGCTTCGGATTCCTTCCCTCAGTTGCTTCATACGGGATATCTCTAGAATCATTTCTCCCACTGTGCACTTTGTAACGCTGAGTAACCTTTCATCCTGCTTAAGCAGCGGCGAGGCTCTTGATCCATGTGTTAAGGTCGTAGGAATCGTGGAGTCGAAAAAGTCGGGTGTTCGTTATTCTGCTCACTACATCCTCGATGCTTTTGAAAGCTGTCTAGGCTGCTCGCTTTCCCCTGCTCCGCTCAAGGTTTAGTGGTTTAGTTGAAGACCAATCTTTTTACAGGCTTTATCAAAATCGGCAAGCATTCGTTCATCTTGGCGAACATTTGGTATTGTAAGAACGATGTTATCAGCAAAGCGAAGATGATGTAATTTCCGACCATCAACTTTTACTCCTATTTTGACGGATCCCACTTTCCGCATGACGTTCTCAAGAGGAACGGCAAATAACCTTAGCGAGATGGTATCGTCTTATCTAATCTCTCTTTTGACGTTGATATTAACATTGTTATAGAATAGTGAAATCTTGGCTGTGAAATCTCTGTATAGCTCACAAAAAATCTTTATACACTGATGCTCTGGTTGTCGAGGCCTCCCATGACTGCTTCTGTCTCGACTGAGTCAAAAGCTTTCTTTAAATCGATGAAAGTGAGACAGAGCAGTCTCTTGTGCTGTCATGATACTTCAATGAGTCTTGTTTTCGTATGGACTTAACCTGTCGTAGCGAATTCCTTTCGAAACTCTGTTTGTTTAAATGGCTGTCCTTCGCCCACTGTTCTGTAAACCCTGTTTAGGATGACTCGAGTGAAAAGTTCGTAGACGACAGAGAGAAAGCAGATTGGGTGACAGTTGCCGATTTCGTGTAGGTCACCCTTCTTGAACAATAACGCGGTCTTGCTGGTATTCCACTGAGTAGAGACCTTGCATTCAGACAGATAACGTGTGAAGAGCCGAGCCAGCGTGTTTGCGAGGGCTGGCGGAAAGGTTCTTCAGGTGTTCTGATCTTATTCTGTCCGGACCTGGTGTTGCTCGATTCTTGACCGACGAAACAGCACTCCGCGAAAGAAGTGGTGAGACGAAATGTCCATCCTGCTTTACTTCGTATAAGGGAAGAAAAAAGTTCCTATTGAAGAGATGCGAACAGTAATCGTGACTGATTTTCTCCATTGCCTTCATTTGTGCAGCCATCTAGGTTTTGTAATTGACGAAGCTTCGGTGCACTTTGCGAATGTATTTCCTAGCCCATGCAGCGTCGACAATAACCGCTGCTCTTCTCTGCTTAAAATCTTCTTTTGTCGCCTGTCTGCATTGTTGTCGAAGTTCGGATGTAAGTCAGCGGTTGCCTTTATCTCGTGCGATTCGACACCGCCGTACCAGCTTTAGTATTTTTGCGGGCAGACGTCTTTTGATGACTTTCAAACTCTCAGCTTTCATAGCGCTACCGTGAACATGTTGAATGAGCCGATAGTATTGCTCATCGATGTTATCAAGAACGCATCTCCCAACAACAGGCTATTGAACTGAGTAAATCCCAGTTTACGGTTGTATTAAGACTTCTTTTTTGAATTTAGTGGCTTTTCTCCGATCAATGGCAAATCAAATCTTGCACGAAGCAGGTAATGGGCCGGTCGCCTGCAGAATTTCAAACAACAGCAACATTTGTTAGGCAAAACCTTCGATTTAATATGATGTGATTCTACTTCGTTATGGTGCACTCCATCGAGACACTCCGACGTGCAGCGTTGAGAGTGGGGATTCTGGAACTGTGAGTTATCACTAATGGCCTTGGCAATCATGATAAACTCGGACAACCGCTCACCCTGCTTGTTTCATTCCAATCCGTGGATTCCTATATGACGTTCTTCAATGTCGTTCTGGTTCCAGCCTTAGCTTAAAAATCCCTAATGATCACCATGAAGAATGTATGGTCTTCTCCGTAATTTCTCCAAGTTCATAAAGAACGCTTCGACTTAGGCCTTCGTCATAAGGTGTGTAAAAACGAAGATTCTCAAAGCTGGTGTTCATCCACTTCTCCTCAGTAGTAAGTAGACGTCCGATTCGGGTGTTAGTTGTTCGAATGAATCGATGATCATGGTTAAACTCGTGTTGAGGAAAACGCCAACGTCGCAGACTCCAGGGTCGCATATTCCAAGAAGTAATTCTTTTTCGGTGTCATAGACAACGTTAAATGGGTGGCGTCTTCTTGTCTCAGCCAGGCCGATGATGTCGTACCTTATCATTCTTGCATGTGCGATCAAATCCTCTATGTCTTATATCCAGTCCTCGACCCCTGAAGGACCGGGGGCATGGTGTACTCGGTGCTTCGTCCGTTTAGGTCGTTTAGAGCTTATTAAATGTATCACTACAACTGCCCTACCACCACCCGTATACAAAGTTCATACAAAATTCTTTCACTGATGTGTAGCTGCATGTTTCCGCATTACATCGTGCATTTATTGCTGCCTTATAGAGCTGTGCGCCTGCATGCTCCGCATGGTGTTGAATTTTCCGAGAAATTTAAGACGTTTCAAATTTGTAATGAAGGCGCTGTCTCATCCAATAAACTGGTATGCACCACTCACGCCATCTCATCAGCTTTGTGTGGATTTCATAAAATGACGACGAATGAAGACACTCATTTCAATGAACAGCTGCTGCAAATGATTACTCGGGATAAAGATGACTGCTCCCCGATATCGACTACTTTGCTAATCTGCACAATAACGTTAGTTATTTCGGCTTACTGTTCCGGCGCGAACTTCGCCTACATGAGAATGAGCATCAACGACATGCTGTTGATAGTGGAAAATGGTGATGAACCGCATAAGGTGAGATGATTTCACTGTTGTGATGCAGTGAACGTCATCACATGGAAATCTCATCTAATCGTTCTCCTTGCCAGACAAATGCTCGCAAGATTGTCAAATATCGAAAACAATCGAACTGGTTAATTTGCACGATGGCCGTCATGAACATCATCGTTAACACAGTTTTCACAAACGAAATCAGTAAAGTTTTCAAGGAAGTGGGTTTGTTTATTCTTTCGTTTCAATTTCCGCAATTATTTGTTTATGGCAAAAGTAGGCATCTATAGCATAGCGGCTAGATTTGGCCACAGTCGGTCGGTCCAGCAATACGCACGCGGTTTTGGTTTCGATCCTATGCTCCGGGAAAGCCTGTATTACCGCGGTAGCGTTATATCGGGTACAGAGTTGTCTTTTGGAGGATAAAAATGTTAACTCGGTGTATGCCCGGAGATTATTGTGGAACACAATTTTGCATCCTCTGTTATGATCATTAGAGTGCCATACTTATTTGAGGCCAAGGTGCGACTACCCTTTATCAGAAGAGTGTTGAGTTTCGATTTTCATCACGAAAAAACCTCACCATAACTTTTCCTAGTGGTAGAAATATGGCAGTGTTACGACCTTGATCGCATCTCTAACCTCAAGAAGAAAAATTCGAAATCTTCCTCAAGCCAAGGTTTTCCTAATTTGATACCGAGATTGTTGAACGTGTAAGGATAGCCTTCTGCTGCCTACTACTAGTTGCATGAAACGTGTTTTACTGCAAACCTACGTGGGCCTGTTTTCTTTTCAAGCTACGTCTTGTTTATGACTATGTTGCAGAGCACTTTTATTGACTCACACTCATTCGGAACTTTTCTAAAATCCTAGAACAAGTAGCAGAGAGTCTTCTGCCGAGTTGTCAATGTGCCAGACATGTGAGCAAAGCGTTTTGTGAAAGATGTTTTCATCATATGCGGCTAATCTTCCCTTTTTAAGCGACGACAGTGGCACTCCTTGAGCACGAAAGAGATCGAACGCTGCCACAAAGCAATGGATATTCTTTTTCCTCTATCTCGATACGTTTTCATTCCTGAATTTCCTAATTGTTATCATGGCCGCCATTGATCAGAATTACGCATTCCACCCACGATTTACAATATAAGCTGTCTTCACCCTCTTTGAATAAACAATAAACCACTGTGTAGTACCACTGATAAATGTAGATAGGCTTAATTGCAAGGAAGAATGTTGGCTAAACTAATGTGCCATACATTGTCTTTATCAACTGTTGTCCCGTTGATCGCCACGTGACTCGCTTGGACTCCGATAAACTTTCAAAAACTTTCATTTTTCCATGTCACATAAAAAAGTAGCCCAATGGGCTCTGCTCCCTCTAGGAACTCGCTGGGCATCATATTTTGCTTATAGAGTTCTCCTGAAAAACGTTAACCATCGCATCGATGGTCCTCCTGCTGTGCCTTCAACATCCCGAAGAATCCAATCCAGTCCTTTCACTTTCTTACTTCTTCTTCTTCTAATACTTCCAACATTGTCCTTTCAACCGAACATCTCGCGAAGCTGAGTGATCATTAATTCTACTCGCTTAACGACTACGTTTCCGGCACATACCTTAAGGTAGGAAGATTTTAAGAGTCGAAAAAGTGAGCATGGAGTCGGGTGTTCCATGTTTTCTTCACTACATCCCCGATTCTCTTGAAAGCTCCCCGAGCCGCTCGCTTGCTCCTGGTCAACACTGGAACTAAGTTGCTCATCATGGTGATTTCACCACCGAGATAAATATAAATGGAGCATTCCTAGGTATCCGTTCCGTCGAACAGGACATGCGCTACCAATGCGTTCCTCATAAACATCGCTTTTATAAGATTTAGCCGAAGGCCAATCTTTTCATATAGTTTATCAAAATCGGCAAGTTTTTCTTGGCTAGTGTTTGCTCTTATAGCAACGATATCATCAGCAAAGCAAAGAAAGTGCAACTGCCGACCGTCGATTTTCACTTTTATGTGGCCCTATTCCAGTTTTCGAACCACGTTCTCGAGAGTAGTGGTAAAGAATTTTGGCGAGATAGTATCGTCTTGCCAAAGCCCTTTGCTGACGTCGATGTTAATAGCGTTGTAGAATGGTGATGTCCTAGTTGTGAAATTTTTATACAGCTCACATAGAATTTTTATGTGCTGAGTAGGGACTCCCTGATCGTGAAGGCCTTCCATGACTGCTTCTGTCTCAATTGAGCCAAAGGCCTTCTGTAAATCGATGAAAGTGGGACAGAGCGGTCTTTTGTACTCTCGCGATACCTCAATGAGTTTGCTATCATGTGGATATGGTCCATCGTACTAAATCCTTTTCGAATCCCTGCTTGTTCACAATGCTGCCCTTCGTCTAGTGTTCTGCCAATCCTGTTTAGGATGACGCGAGTGAAAAGTTTGTAGACGACAGGCAACAAGCAGATTGAGCGATGGTTGCTGACATCGTAGAAGTCACCCTTCTTGAACAATAGCACGGTCTTGTTGGTCTTCCGCTGAGTAGGAACCTTGCGTTTTGACAGGTACCGTGTGAAGAGTCGAGTAAATGTGTTTATGAGGATTACCAGGAAGTTCTTTAGGTGTTCAGATCTTACCCTCTCCGAAACTGGTGTTGTTCGTTTTTCTCCCGTTTTTCTCCCGAAATCCCGTTCACAAAACAGCATGTCGGATTTTGGGAAAGAGAACCGGTGGTACGACATACCCATCCTCCTTTATTTCATGTGAGAGCAGGATAACGTGACTTTTGAAGAGATCTTAGTAGTAATCGTGAATGCTTCTGAGAGCTTTAACTGTTCCGTTTGGGCGTCGGAGTTCAACCATCTTGGTTCTGCAATTCGCGAAGTTTCGATGGGTTTTGTAAACGCTTTCCCAGCCTCTGTTGCTTCCACAATATGTTCTTCTCGCTTTAAAATCTTCTTTTGTCGCCTGCGCATTGTTGTCCAAGTTCGGACGTGAGTTGACAGTTGTCTGCACCTCTTACGATTCCACACTCAGCTTGAGTATTTTTGGAGACAGACACTTCTTGGTGACTTCTGAACTCCGAACGCTGGCGTTTGAATGAGTGGATCCTGTTCGTTATCGATGTTATCAATAACGATATCTTCCCAACAGCTGACTAATGAACTGAAGAAATTCCGGTTTATGGTAGGTTTTGGGACTTTGGTTTTTGATTTTAGCAGATTTTCTTTTTTTCCGCGAGAAATGAAATCTTGCACGTAGGAGGAGATGGCCTAATCCCGTTCAGAATTTTGGGACAGTGGCGAGTTAGGCAAAACCTTTTATTTACTATGATGTGGTTTACTTGGCTATGGTGCTCTCAGTTGGGAACATCCTACAGAAAGCACTGAGAGGCGGCCTTCTGGAATTCCGAGTAACCATTGACGGTCTTTGTCGTTGTGGTAGTCTGAGACAGCTGGCGTAGGAAAAAGGGGGGGTCCATCACCTGAGTCCACCCGCGCCCCAGGGAAGCTTTTGGCCCGCGATTAAGCCCGTATCCGCATCACGTGGTCTCGCGACTAACCGGCAGGAGATCGCTGTGTGATGGAGATCCGTGACATCCATATATACATATGAGATTAAAATATCCTAGCTTGATACTCAGTAAGTGCAAATAATGCACAAATGTCACTTGGGTAAAGAGATAAGGAAGACCTTCTCGCGGTCATTTCGTCTCTAATCTTGCTATTGTGTGCTTTAAATGGGCTGGTAGTTTTGCATTGATGGTTAAATAACCGTTGAAGGGTTTACCTTCCATGGTTCCCTGGATTGAGGAATTGATGAGATATGTCATGAGCTTCGTTCCGACTTACATGTTTGTTATACCAATCGACCGAGGTTAAGAGAGATCGAAAGACATCGGGTACATGCAGTCCAACCAACATCAGCTCTGTACAGCCCAAATAGAAGAGAAGGAGCTATTTCGCAATATGTGGGGCGATAGAGGTAAATAGCACTAGGAATTACAGACTCAGTGTAGGAAATGTACAGTAATATGAAGAGGTGAATAATATTCCGCGTAACATAAATATCTAATTCTACAACTCGTGGGTTTTCTGATACAACTCTTCTATGCGTCTTCTGTTTAAAACATTTGCTACTATCTCTCAATAAAAGGATAAACGATAAAGCTCTCGGCGTTGACCAATCCCTGAGGGATGCGCCATGCATTCGACTTCATTAAGAATCGTTTGGAGGTGATTGAATACATATCTGGCCTTTACAATGACTACCGGTGGCCCACCGATGCATCGAGCCAGTGCTACTATCCTCCCAGGCAAGTCTGATACCAATTTGCCCATCCTGGAGAGATGGAAGGTTTTGGTGGGCCATGGGCGCGGAGATCGATTCCACGTGTGTGTTGCAAAGCTCCTCCGACCACTGCGCACAAGTCCATCAATGCTACTCAATAGTACGGAATATTTTTCAAGTAATCCTTAACGTTATTCTTCTGGAACTGTCCCTATAGTTAACACGTCCTCCGAGTGGCCTTTTTTCGTCTTGTCCTTTTCACTTTCGAATTTCAGCACAAATATGGCTATATGCTTCGCTATGCTGTGCCAACAATCATGATCGTCTTATTGGCCGAAATTCTACCGCAGGTGCTCCGCAGTGCCTATAGCAAATGCGTGAACAAAGCTTTCCAAATTGAACCAAAGAATTACGTCATTATAGTCAGAATTTTAAAAAAATCCATTGCAGTCTGTATGCAATCGTTTTGGCCTTACGCTTGCTGCTAAAACTCGCCACGTTACTTTGCTCCTTTTTATTATTTGTGCACCTGTTGCATGGCCGTTTAGCAAAGTCATCGACTACATCCTTGGAAGAGAGGTTCGGTTTTTTTTAAACTCGCTTACTGGTCATCCCATTAAACGTTGCTATTTTTCACGTGGATTCTCTACTTCGTTTGAAAATTTTGTCCTAAAAAGGAGTACAACACGGTCGTCATTTATCAAATTTAAAAGGATACGTCATACATTCGCCTCCACTCATATCATCGTAGCGATGGCTGGATGCATATTTGGCCAATGTAGTGATTGCGGTAGGCCAGCGAAGTATTAACTCAATGTTTTATTCCTCCCAAACTACCCTAATACTAAAGGAATCCCAAAAATATGGAGAACTTCGCTTACACCAGACGCAGAATTGAACCAGTGACTGAGCGTGTATTGTGAAGTAACTCTAACCATTATGCTAAGCACACCTACTTGCATACTTGAATACTTGGATGGTCCGTCTTTGCGAACGTCGACACATTTACCATTCGTTTGTTTCCCTCGAAGTCGTCGTCCACGGTGGTGGTTTTATTCGAGCATGGTGGCGCGTGCGAGCCTCCTACCATGATCTGTAAAACAACTGCACCTGCGAGGACAGCCGACAAACTATGGTTACGAAACACGTCCGCCCTATTTGTGGTCTGCATCCTCGCGGAGTCCATTCTATAGTTTTTTTTCGTCCACCTATCGTCTGTTCTGTTTCTTTATTGTTTTACATTTTCTTGGATCACAAAGATGTGACAGATTTTGGAGATCATAGCGTTGCATTCCGGTTAGATCTTGAGTGTGCCGGTTATATTTCGGAAGACGTCGTTCAAGCGCACTATGAGCAGTGCGCAGCATGACGCGATTGACTTATTAGCCCACGTCTCAGCAGCATAACAGAGCGCTGCGAGGACTGCTGAGTCGGAAAAATGGATTGGATTTTCGAGTCTTCCGTTATTCAGTGACTACTTTGACTGGCTCGAATGCGGAAATTTTGCTTGGTCCGCTGGTTGCACTTCATCCCATGTCCTTGATATGCGCGAGAGGATAATCTTCGTGAAGAGCTCATAGAGGACACTCGACAAGCAGATCAGACGGTAGTTAAGAAAATCCCTTCGGTCACCTTTCTTAGGCAGGGTGACCGTGCACGACGTCCTCTACTGGTCTGGAATTTTTTGCTCAGGCTGTCAAATGGTTTGCGAGAAGTACATCTAAACTGTCGCTTCCAGCTCTAAGGAATTTGGCGGCGATAGGTTCGAGTACCGGAGCTGTGCCTCTTTTCATGATTTCAATGGCAACTCGAACCTCGGACGAAAGAATTCCAGGTGGTTTTTCTCCAGTGGGGATTTTAGGGTCAAGGGAGGGGAATGTGGAACGGGGAAAGTTTTGACGATCCCATCTTCGTTCAACAGGGTTAACAACGGAACGTTATAATCACACAGGTCCCGACATCATTTTTCAGACTATTTCTTTTTTTTACTGCTTCCAGTAGTTTCCTCCGCCTGTACCGATGTAGATCTTCTGCAAAACTCTTCTATGGCTGGCGCTCATTTCTAACCGTGTCAATCGTGTTGTAGTAGGATCAAGCTTTAGTTTCCTTTTCTTTTTGAGCAACTCCTTAGTGGTAATGGAGATGCGATCCGATCTTCTTCTTTGGGGAACTGAGACAAATTCGGCGCATCTTTTCAGCCCTTCGACATGCAGCTCGTAGTCTGCGGTCAGCTCGTTGTTAATCTGCCAATTACATTTGCATAGGATTTCGTTCAGAATGTTTTCATCATATACAGATTAACTTTTTTCTGGTGGTCGATGGATGATTTGAATTCATTTCTACGTTGCAGCTGAATCCAATCTTCGCGAATAAGAAGTGATCGAACTCAGCACAGAACCACAGGACTACCGATGTGTCAAGTAGGCTATATCTTCTGTTTGTCAGAAAGTGGTCGATCTTCGCATGAGTTATGCCGTTAGGAGACTTCCATATCCAACGGCGGGTTTCTTTCTTCTGGAAAAAGGAGCTTCCATGGAAGACTCGTGCTGCAGATAGGAGTTCTGCAAGACGGTTTCCGTTCTCGTTTCTTTCTCCCAACCCAAGGTTTCCGATCCTGTTAATTGAAATCAAGGAATTTAGGAATTGGCAAGGAATTTATAATACGCCTTATCATTGCAAATAACTTTCTTCAACTGATTGTAGAACGCTTCCAATTCGTACTCATCAGCTGCATCGGTCGGTGAATAACAATTGGTCTTCTTATAACGCGTCAGTTGAAGACGGAAGACGGCTATGCGAGAGGAGAGGATCTCGTATGACTTGACGAGATGGGCAATAGACGAGAAAGCCTACGCCACCGTCATTTCGTGACGAGACTTTTTCTCCACTGATGACAGCGGTTTCGATGTATAGCTGGCGTGTGTCGATCTTCCTGGTTTTTGTTCCTTGCAGTGCGATCACATGAAATTTTACGCGATTTGCTTCTTCGAGAAAGAGGTGAAAGCTGGCGTCTTTGGAGAGTGTTCTGTGTCGTTGGTTTTCTGCTTAATCTGAGATTTTGTGGCCTCTCACCGGTCGCATCAAGGCCTGACATCATAGACGGTTGCACCCAGGGGTACTGAGGCTGGCCCATTGCTCGTTGCGCACTGTGATTCTTCCTAGAACCACGATTTAACTTTGCAAGAGCGTATTCAGGTCTTCACCGCAATTTGGATCCGAAGAAACTATCTTTTTTTACCTATGTTTATACATAATATATAAAGCTAAAAGGATAAACCACCCGGTTTGATCAATCCCTGAGGGATGCGCTATGCATTCGACTTCATTAAGCATCGTTTGGAGGTTATCCTGCCGATGTATCGGATCAGTACTGCTGTCTTCCCAGACAAGTCTGGTATCAATTTGCCGACCACGAAGGGATGGAAGGTTTAGTGGGGATTGATTCTACGTGTGTGTCGCAGGACGCCTCCGATCACTGCGCCACACGTGCTCTATACATACATATATATACATACGCATATAATAGACAGCGGTTAGGACAGTGGTAGTGATGCCCGTCATCACGAGCATGGTACTAGTTCGATTCTGCTCCAGGTTAACCAAGTCCCTCATCCCTCCACCAAATGGGAACGCTCCAGCCCGGCTATCTCAGGGTTCCAGAGAGAATTGCTCTGCCAGCATTCTACGGCATTCAGGATGTAATGAAAAATCCTAAAGCAGTAACCGAAGACACACGTAAAAGCTGGTAGATCATCGCGAACAAGGGATGCGAGGAAACGATCTTAATGTTAGAATTGCTGGAATCCGCATAGTAGACGTGAGGGCGGATCAAATAAAAGAAAATAAAAATAAATAAAAGCGTATATAACAATAAACACATGTATGAATATCATTTTCAAGGTTTAAAGTTTTTGCGCCTCTTAGAAATAAAAAAAATAATTCATGTTCTTTTCCAAGAAAACGCTAAGTTTATGACTACTTGTATATTTTTATAGAAAGCTTGAGAAGGCCATATGAGATAAAGGTGACTCAGACTCAGGAATATTATCAACCCTGTACCAAAAACTACTTACATAGGCGCTCCATTTGCGATGTTGCTTAGAGATTTTCCCTGTTCGTAGGTTCGTGAGATATACTCCGAGGAAAAGCTCAAAGCTCTCATAAAAGTGCAGTCGAAGAAAATGGAAGAAGCTGCTCAAGGAGGTTAGTTCTGTCTTCAGCCTATCAAAACCATTGTGTTAGATTTTTTTGATCTAGATATTCTCGCAAGAATAGTGGATTTTCCAAAGAAAACTGTACAAGATATGATGACACCAATGGAAGACGCTTTTGTCGTTAGTGGTGCCGATAAATTGGACGTGAAGGTTTTTGTTTTCTTTCTCTCAAAGAATCTTTTTATTTACAGAAAGATCTTAAAGAATGAGTCTTGGAATAGTAAACGAAACACAAAGTAGTTTGATCAGTGTGACAGTTGAAAAAGTTAATCAGCGATGACTATTGAAGACAATTACAACATTTTAACGGGCGCGTGTGGCGCAGTGGTCGGAAGCGCCTGCGACACATACGTGGAATCGATCTCAGCGCCCACGGCCTACCGAGCCTTCCATTCTTCCGGGGTCGGCAAATTGGTACCAGAGTTATCCGGGGAGATAGCAGCACTGGCTCGATGCGTCGGTAGGCCACCGCGAGTCATTGTAAGGGCCAGATATGCACTTAATCACCTCTCAACGATGCTTAATGAAGTCGAATGCATGGTGCATCCTTCAGAAACTGATCGACGCCGAGAGCTTTATCCTTTTTATCCTTTTACAATATTTTAATTATCATGGTTTCTTACTGCTGTTATCTAAGTGTAGTTATAAATGACTGTCGCTATATACCATAATAGGGTAATTACTCTTTTCACCGATCCACCGATTCATTTCACCGATCCCGATTTCACCAACTACCGATGTGTAAATTTTCACGTGTTAACATTTTCTCAATACACTACTGGTCACTACAGGTCTGTTCCCCAAATGAAAACTCATTCTGAGGTGAAAAATTCAACAAGTAAACAGTTGGGAAAAGTATCGACAAGGTTAAGTGACATTGCCAAAATCCTAGGGGCAAGAAGCTTCAGAATCGAGCTGCGGCTGTTTGCATGCTCATCAGCGATAACTAGTCATAAACGAATGTCATAGTCGAAACAAGAAAATGATTTTTTCGACTTCGTTTTAGTTTTTGGTGACACTTCTTGAAAAAGGCTACACACGTGTCCCAGTTTTCGAAGAAAAAAATCGTCTAAATCTCCATACAGTGTTAAACGTAAAGGTATTGCACACTTGCCATATGATAGCCTGACTTTTCTGTTTTTTATTCGTCATTAAACATCGCTATCTATTGGAAAATGTTTGGTAATTATCACTCTGAAATCTTAAATGAAGCATAATACTTCCATCGCATTTCCGTTGTTTCTTGGTTTGACAGGAGCGCCCATGGCACAGTGGTCAGAGGCGCCCTGCGACACGCAAATGGGATCGGTCCCTGCGCCAGTGGCTCACCGAACCTTCTGTTCCACGAGGTCGGTAAATTGGTACCAGAATTGTCTAGGAAGAGAGCAGCACTGACTTAATATATCGGTAGACCACCGTAAGTCATTATAAACGCCAGATATGCATTCAACCACCTTCAACGATGCTCGATGAAGTCGACTGCACGGCGCGTGGGATTGATCAACGCCGAGAGCTGTATCCTTTCTTTTAGTTCATCTTGATTTAATATATAATAGTTTGACCAGTTAGCAAGAGAACTTTTGTAGTTGTAGTATGCATATGTGCTCGCCTTAGAATTTCCTTTACAACACTTGATTCGTAAATCTTTGTCAAAATAGTTTTGAGTCCTCTGAGAGGATTTTCTGTATGTGATCTCGTAATTAGAATGTGTTTTAGTACAATCGACAAATGAGTGTAGATAATTAAGGATTTGGCTACAATGACAATAGATCGAACATCAACAGTTCAACAATTCATCGACACGTTAGACTTTGCTAGAACGCAGGTAGGCATGCTTCGAAAAAATTGTTTACTTACTTGGGCAGTTGGATGGCTCGTGTTCAGTGGTTGTGCCCAGCACAATTTTTATTCTCCGGAGATTTGCTGTTTTGGCCATTGTGATTCCCGGAGTCCCGCGGATAGCCTGGCCAAAGTCTGCCCCAGGTCGTTACCACCACAACCTGTTGCCGCTCTTGTGGATCAAAGGGAGATTTGCCGCCATGCGACTAGTTTGAAACCAGAACCGCGGTGGATCCTGGTATTGGCTTACTCTTAGCTAGGCTTCCTGATGGAAACGCCGGACTCCCCCGCTTGGGAGACCCTGCCGGGGAGATGAATTCCATCTCTAATCATCGCACCCCGACGCCCAGGAACACCCAGCCACGATGAGGCGGTAAGCCGTTGGAAAGAAAAAAAATTGTTTCCTAGAATTCTCTGTAGAAAAAAATCACCTTAGTAGAAGATAGATATCAATGCAAATCAATTTAAATCCATAAACACGTGCCCGGATTTCAGATGCGTTTTGTTTTGGCGACACAAAAAGCAGAAATGCTCATGCAAGAAATGATGAAAGGTCAGTATTCCTTCACTAAAACAATGCATAAGCAGAAAATCCATACAGCTGGTTTCTACTTGAGTGCATGAAGCACATTGGCCACTGGTGCTGTGCATCAATGCATTCGATCTCACACTAGACCAGCTACCCTCCTTCCGAAGTGGGTAATTGCTAGAGCAGGCTTATAACGAACTCAACTATCATTCGACGATAGCATTCGTGAAAAAGTCACAGTCCTCAGGTGGTTGCTGAACTTATGGACAATCCTGAAGATTCTAGGATCGACTTTCTATTAACTTCGGCAATGGAATATGAATGCATCGTTTTCTTGTTCAGCAATCGCGAGGTTTTTAAACAGCATGCATTTACTTCCATAGAAAAACACAATACAATACAACGCTAGCTGATGTTTCGGCAGTATCGCCTTCTTCAGAGCCTGGAAGGGTATACTGATATACAATCTACTAGGCCAAACACTTCAATAACACTTACAAAAAGACGAAAACTTTATGGTAATTACATGATGAACAGCTTCTCGAAGAACCCACCGCTTTTTACGTGACTTCCAATGAGGAAGTTTAGAACAGCTGATTATAGTCGCATATGGTTGACGACTGCACCATCCCACATCAGAAATTGATGTGAACATACGGGGTCAGGTCGCGTATGACCTCTGGGCATTCATCCCTGCTATTCATTGTAGGGTTTTTGGCATTTATCCAAAAAACCTCAAGGAGTTTTCGCGCTGGTGTTTTAGTCTCCTCTGTAAGGATATTGTCTTTTACTTCAAAATCATTTCCGCTATGCTTTTTGTATCCTATGCGTGCCCAGTGGTGTGCTTTGTCTTAGTTTTCGTTTGCCATATAGGTGTTCTTTTATGCGGATACACAATGGTCTGCCCGTTTCGCAAATATATTCATCTTCGCAATTATTATAAGAGATCAGGTATATCGTACCCGAACTCATGCAATCACCGTCCTTGTCGTAAGGGCAAATTACGCAATTTGTTGTTTCACACAGACGGTCATATGGGCGGTTACGAACTAATTCACGACGTAGAGTAGCCGGTGGTATTTCAACTATCACTACCGATTCTTCTAGAACTGCCCTTCTTAAGCATCGTCTAATAGCTACGCTTACTTCACAGCTAATAAAGGACAATATAAACGGAACTTTCCTTTGGCCAAGTGTTTCGCTTGGGCGCGTCGCCTCTCTTAAACTTATTTCATGCGGTAACTATTTCGTAGCCATTGGAGATGGCTATTTGCCTAGCCAAGTCGCGCGATTCTTCCTTTAGTTCCCTGGTAGTGCACACAGAGGTGGCTGTTCGAAACGTGTTTATCACAAGCGCCCTCTTTGTGTGTGAGGGGTGGGAAGAAAGGAAATGAACCAGGTTGTTTCTGTTACTTGGTTTTCTGTACCACTTTTTCATGTAACCGCTACTTGATAAGTTTGTTTGAACGTTAAGAAATGGAAGCCAGGTCTGCTTCGGTTTCTCTAGGGTGAATTTAATATACTCAGACTGCTCATTCAGTAATTCAGGGGATTTGTCCATCTCCTCCCGAGTAGAGAGGATGACAAAACAATCATCTATATATCTGCGGTAGAGTAGCGGCCGGAGATCGACAACCGGAGCTTCTATTTTGGACATAAACGCAATGGCGAGAGTTGGTGCCAACCGCTGTCCCATTGCCAGCCCTCTAATTTGTGCGCAGTTATTCCCAGATCACAATTTAACGTATTATTTACTGCCTACTCTTTTTAACGGCAGGGTATACATCGTAAAATATAACTTCAATGATGCTGAGATATTTACAAAACTCCGGACCGCAGGTGGACGCGGTGGGGAACGAACACGCTCTGTTGTCCTTACCGGGGAGCAGCGCACTTCACCACCACACCATCCGGGTCCTTCTTTTTGCCTGTCTCTCAGCTAGTTCTATCGATCTTTTGCCATCAGCAATCACCCGTCAACGGGATTGATCTGCGGGGCCTAAATTGGCAACGAACCCAGTTAAGCTGAGGCCGCAGTTATATTCACAATTTAACGTATTAAGGACAACAGCGCGTTCGTTCCCCACCGCGTACACCTGCGGTCCGGAGTTTTGCAAATATCTCAGCATCATTGAAGTTATATTTCACAATGTATACCCTGCCGTTAAAAAGAGTAGGCAGTAAATAATATGTTAAATTGTGTTTATAACTGCGGTTAGGTGTTACGTTAAACGATGCTATGCCCTTCTTAACATGCTCCTTTCGTTGAAGCACACTAGTATATGCTTTCATTCTTTCTTATTTCATACAATTGCATCTACTTTTAGTGGTCGTGTAGCGCAGTGGTAAGGGGTGGGGTCATTGGTTTGATAGGAAGCCCTGTGTTAAGTACGCCCACTAATCCTCCAAATCGGTGCTCTACCACTCTGGGAGAATTAAAAAAACACTGATCGTATACATCGGTGAGCCTTCTAAAGTTATCCTATAGACCAAACATGCATTTAATCACCTTTATGGTGTTATCAATAGAATTCGAAGCATAGCGCACCTCCAAGAGTTGCACCAACACCGAACACTTTATGCTTTCATCGTTGTTTAACAATCATCATGGCCCACAGAAAGCCTACGAAAAATATTCCTCGCAGTCCTATTTTCTCACATGAATACAGAAGTAATATACTTAAGGATTAATCAATATGTATTCTTTCTTGATAAGCTTACACGAGGTTGATAAATATATTTATTTTCGGCTAACGTTTCGACGTCTTCGTCTTCCTCAGAGCCGGTGATCCGAGTCGATGGTCCATGTTCCCCACCGCGTACACCTGCGGTCCGGAGTTTTGCAAATATCTCAGCATCATTGAAGTTATATTTCACAATGTATACCCTGCCGTTAAAAAGAGTAGGCAGTAAATAATATGTTAAATTGTGTTTATAACTGCGGCCTCAGCTTATCTGGGTTCGTTGCCGATTTAGGCCCCCCAGATCAATCCCGTTGACGGGTGATTGCTGATGGCAAAAGATCAATAGAACTAGCTGAGAGACAGGCAAAACGAAGGACTCGGATGGTGTGGTGGTGAAGTGCGCTACTCCTCGGTAAGGAAGTAGCACGTTCGTTCCCCACCGCATATACCTGCGGTCCGGAGTTTTGCAAATATCTCAGCATCATTGTAATTATTCCCAGATCATCTGAAAATCGAGCAGTTTAGGTACTCTTTTAGGAGAACCATAAGTTATTGAATGGACAAGCCATGCATATGTATTCCTCCTTAATGTTCAACAAAAGTTCGTGGATGGCTTGCATTGCGGAATCATTCGATACGTTAGTGTTTAGCAGCGGAAACGCCTAAAGACTCCAACACGTACGCGTTGTTAGGAGACGCGTTACATAGGCGTTCTAGGAATATGGCTAAGCAGTTGGGTAAGTATTCGGCCTAGAAACCATGTTATTCTACCTGTTGGCCCGTCTACAAAGCTGATAATGGGTCTAACCATCTAGGATGAAGGATTGGTAAATGCAAGATCATCAGTTGATACTAGCTTATGTGTTTTAATAAGTAAATATAAAACGGCACACGTTGGTTGATCTACCTTATACTGCGAAATAACGGATGGTTTTAAATCCGTAAATTCTATATCAGTATGCCCTTGCAGGCTCTGAAGATGGCGATACTGCCGAAGCGTCAGCTACTGCTGTATTGTGCTGTTTTTTTATGGAATTAAATGCATGCTGTATAACAACCTCGCGATTGCTGAGGAAGAAAACGAAGAATTTTGAAGACTTTGGTAAATAAAGGATGTTATGCGATCCGAATGAAAAAAGTGCTTGGATTCGCGTAACAAGCTAGATTGGGTCATATAAAAAGGACAAGTTTGTAAACAATTAGATTGCTATTTAGTCCACTGCTGATGTATTCCATGTTATTTTTATACACGAGCCATTCCTAACCGGTTCAATGTTCTTCGATTGAGAACCGGAAAAAGTAATATACCAGGAGTGAAATGTGGGAAAAGAAATCGGTAGGAAACAATTGATAAGTAGACAAAAGAAAAACTTGAGAGAGAAGAAAGTAGTGAAGACGAAGAAAGTTTGGAAATAAATTAAGAGAAGATGAACGGAGAAAAAACAGAGAGCAAGGTGACGATGCAGAAGGCAACAGACCACCAAAGGAAAGGTATGGGGATGAAGTAGTTCATAGTTGAAATTGAAATAGTTCTGCAATAGTTCATCCAGCCAGTAAAACTGGCTTGCGGTTGATGGGACTTTCCTCTGTTTACAAAAGATTCAAAAGTAGTAAACAGAGTACGATTGGACTTTTGAACAAGCCAGCAGTGTTTGCGAGAACAAGACATAGTTTCGTTAAGAAGTTATATTTATGAATTCTGAATAATTGCTCCTCCCAACGGCTTACCGCCTGGTAGTGGTTGGGAGGTGTTCTTGGGTGTCAGGCTGCGATGTGCAGCGGAGAATTCGTCCCACCGGCAGGGTCTCCCAAGCTGAGAAGACGTCCGGCGTTTCTATTAGGAAGCCCAGCTAAAAGCAAACCAATACCAAGATCCACCACCGCCCTGATATGGAACTAGTCGCATGGTGGCAAATCTCCCTCCGATCAGTAAAACTCCGAAAAATTGAGATAATGTTGTAATCCACACAACCAATGAGGATGGGTCATCCAAGTATCCAAGTGACTAAGTAAATAATTGCTTGAAAAACATCTCTATGCTTGTTGTTCTGAAATTACTTTCTTAAAAAATGGGCGACAAAACGTTCAGAAGCCTGAACCACATGCTTTAACAAGCACCATGTTTAAGAGCATCGCTGGAAATGGCTTAAGTAGTGTAAACTCTTGCCAAATCTCTAGAAGTACTCTCAAAGTATTCTACAAAGTTTGACTCATAAGTCAACTTTTCACTATCCATGATTTTGTCGCGTTACCGATATTTATGGTTAATTACCCTTATTATTCTAAAAGATAGCTAAAATGATGTATTCATCATACTAATGATTCTTTCTGTGACCGTTTTCGAATACCAGGAGAGCATCATTTGTGTGCTGTGATACGTTTCACCTACGGAAAATACCGTGTCGTTGGTCTGATTTCATTCGAGGATGTTATAGAGCAAGTGTTCGGCGATATTGAAGTAAGTCGATCGATTTAAAACTACCCGTTTTCACGTCTGAGAGAAAGGCAAATTGAATGACGCGTATGGTGTGGTGCTGAACGCGTTAGTCACCAGTTATTATAATAGCGTGTTCGATCCCCACCGCAGACACGTACGATATGGAGTTTTTCAAATACCTCAGCATCATTGTGGTTATACTTCACATCGTATTTTGCGATGGCAGAAAGAAAAGACAGTAAATAGAAAGTGACCACTACACATTTTTCTGAAAACTCGACAGCCACGATTCAGGACGATTCCGATAAGATGTGGAACAGCCGTCGTGCCGGAATTCACAAAGATCAACAGACACTGGACTGGTTTCGATTGCCTGATGCAGAACAACCTATTGGATTGGGTGTGAATGCTACACTCAGACTGATTCAGGTAGCTTTCAAATTCAGTCGAATTCGGTTTTTCTAATGAGAAGACCAACAACTGTGCCATTCTGCTTGCTTCACAACTCACTACTTAGATGGAGCCGTGCCAACTAAGATAAGAGTTCAATTATGCTGAGATATTTGCAAAACTCCGAGCCGCAGGTATCTGCGCTGGAGAACGAAAGCCCTATTGTCCTACCCGGGGAGTAAAGCGTTCACCACCACACCATGCGGGTCCTTCGTTTCGCCTGTCTCTCAGCTAGTTGTATCGATCACTGCCATCAGCAATCACCCGTCAATGGGATTGATCTGTGGATCGCCGTTATATCTCATCATCGTTGAAGTTATATTTCGCAATATACCCTGCCATTAAAAAGAATAGGCAGTAAATAAAAAGGTTAAGATTAAATTAGGAGTGCTGAGAATTCTGACGGATTCCAAACGGTGTAAGAAAGTCATCTTAAGCCTTATTTCCCTAGAGTTCATTAGAAGGATAAGGAAAAAATCGTTCGCAATTGATCAATACCGTGAAGATGCGCCATGCATTTGACTCTATTCACAGCATCGCAGAGGAGACTGAATGCATATTTGGCTTCTACACTGATTTTATCTAGTTTACCAATGAATCAAGTCTGTGTTTTTACCTTTCCAAGCAACTCTGATACCAGTTTGGTGACCTCGTGGGGATGTAGGGCTAGGTTGGTCCAAGAACGGGAATCCAACCAACCAGCATATTCATCGCAAGGGCACCTCTAACCACTGCTCCACTCATTGGTTCAAAAGTATTCATTTACATGGAGAAATTTCAGAGTGTATTCGATATTTGCCCGTTGCTAGTTACACTTGGCTATGATGTCCTTCGTATGAAAGGCTTGTTAACTTCACGAAAACCTAAACAACTTGATGAGGACGAGATGATAAAGCATTTTAGTAATCGAAAGTAAGTTTTCTTAAATGTCTCAATATCGTCACTGTAGTTTGTGACCCTCGAAAACAAAACTTCTAGAGAACTAACAAACTTCACGTGTTTAAGAATGCTGATTTTCTTCGATGGAAGTATTATCGTTGAGAGCAGCAGGATGAGGACCTATCGACTTGATGCAAATCGATCCGATTTCCGCCCGTATATATGGGGAAAGTCGTTGGTTAAGCGAGTTTTCAAAGTGAGTATTCTATACTTTAAAAACTGACTTTGCTTTAGTCTGGACACAATTAATAAATATTTTCTCAGACAGTTAAGCTAAAAGAGGTTATTACAAAACTCCTATTTCGCTTACGTTTAGGCGTCTTCGTTTTCTTCAGAGCCGCACTGATTCTACTGTCGACAATCGTATGTCTTCGCGATGTAGGCCTCCGTAGTGACATCAGATCGAATATCCGAATCAATAACCTCGTCCTTCATAAAAGGGCACTGTCGAGTGAGATCCTTTATACGAGTGGTACACCAATCCACAACACTAGACTCGATGCGGTCAGGAACACCCACATTGCCACATCGACCAGTGGTGGACCATCGACTCGGATTGCTCTAGCTCTGGAGAAGGCGAAGGCACCGAGACTTTAGCCGAATAAAAATTTTATAACAAACTTCTGTTAACATCATCTAAGAAAATAGTGAATAATATGTCCCTAAATCTCGACGACAATCGCTTCTCTGCGCTGTTCTTATTTCATTCTAACATTCACTGAGATTTAGGAACGTCTACATTGTCTATCATGCCTAGATGAACCTCTTGGATACAGAACGCAGTCGATTCCCCCGAAAATTCGAGCATTGACGGCAACATCATATTTCGAGGTTCATGATGAAGAAAATTTTAAATTTCTTCGTTATCAATTAAGTATTAACAACAGGTTTTAGCTCTCTGAGAACGATATCCTAAGTGGACTAATGGAACCCACAGATGTAGGATACGAACTTTGTAAGGTCCGCAATTTTCTTCCCTAAAGCGATTTAAACGCTATTACCACTGCGCTGAACTAACAACAGTAAATGTATTAAATCGTACTACCCATACGTTACTACAAAACTTCTGAAATACTTAAACCGTCAAGTACACGGATGGCCCTGGTTGATTCACCTCAGGTCAGTCAACCCCTCTCCGTTTCTTTCCGGAATCGGAAATTTGCTACAAAAAGTGGTGTCTAGGATCAGCCTTTCCCTGCAATTCACAAAAAGCCGGCGACTGTCTATGGTGGGGAACATGAAATAGCCATAGCACTGTTATCTCGAGGCTTTGTTGACGTTCAAAAAAATTTAACGGCTATTTAATTTTTTTAAACATCTACTCATCTGCAAACATAAATGAGGGAAGGATGAGTATCATCGTTTCTTCTTGGTGGAAATCCAACCTTCAATGACTGTGATCAAAAGTGAAGAGAAAAGAAAAAGATATCTCAATCCTAGAAAGCCTGGATCTATCATGTATGAATAAGAAGACTTGTACATTGTTGCAAAGGATTTGTACATTTTAATGATTCTTCACACCACTTTTTGGAGTTTTACTGGCTCCTGGCCTAGCCACTGTGGTTCCCTAGAGTCCTGAGGTCAGCCTGACTAAAGTCTGCCTCTGGTCGTCAGCACCATAGGCAAGTGCCGCCCAAGTGGACCGGAGAGAGATTTGCCATCATGCGACTTTGGCACCACGACGGTGGTGAATTCACTATTGGCTTACTCTTAGCTGGGCTTCCTGATGGAAACGCTGGACTCTTTGTCATATTGAGAGGCTCTGCCAGGAGGTGAATCCCCGCTGTACATCGCAGCACGACACCCAGGAACACCTCCCAGCGACGATTAGGTAGGCCGTCAAGAGGAATTATTCTTTACTTCTAATAATAAGGTTGACTGTAAACATAAATATGTTCTATAGCGCGTTCCAGACGATTCGCATTTCAGTGCGTAGGATGCTAATAATCGACTTTAAACCAACTTTCATCTCTTTACATTATGCAAAGCATCTCGCTCTTGTTGGCTAGTGTCCTTAAATATCAGTTCCTTTGTTCAGTTTTCTGCACTCAGTGAAACAGCTCTTGACACTAAAGAAGGCGAATTATCGAGCAAGCAAGCAAGTATGTTAAACTATTTATACCCATACGAAAACCACGACTCACCACTTACAATGATCTAATTGATCGATTGACTGATTGGTCTGTATTTGACCTACTATCGATCTATGATAAAATATCGCATTTGAAATTGAATGAAAAAGTAAGGTCCAAAGTGGGAAAAATTGGCTCGTTTAAAGAAGCTAACGATAACGATAAAGTAATTGCTAAAGTGTTTAGTGGATGAGTTGGAGAGCACACAATGTTCACCAGCAGATGGAAACCCAATCCGAACAACCACACCTAAGCGACGCCGTGAACTTTTTAGTGTAGGTTTTTGCTTCTCTTTCATTGACTTGAAAGAATACATCACCGCACAAAAAAACTATCTCTCCAATGTGTCGTTTTCTTGTTCAGCAATCGCGAGGTTTTTAAACAGCATACATTTACTTCCATAAAAACACAATACAATACAACGCTAGCTGACGTTTCGGCAATATCGCCTTCTTCAGAGCCGCTTTTTTCGTGACTTCCAATGAGGAAGTTTAGAACAGCTGATTATACTCGCATGTGGCTGACGACTGCCTAAGGACGAAAACGAAAAAAATACTTAAGGATTCTTCGCTTCTCGTATCCTCTCATGCGCATGGTATTGAAGAGCAGTTGCTGTATTCGTCGAGGAGTCGAACATCAGTCATCCTCAGAAATAAGCGTCGTAATCACTTCCATTTCACAACATTCGTTTTTAGTTCCTCATAACATCTTTGAACATAAGAGAATATGTGTCTAGTTTACGATGATAATCTACGTAGGAGCTCACATCACTTGCTTCACCATGCGCGTGCCATAAATCAACATCATTTGAGTAACGCTGCCACGATGTGTTTGATTAGGAGGAAGCTGGGACCGAACGAATAATGCGGCATTTCATTTAAAAAAAAGGACAAAGCACTCGGCGTTTATCAATCCATGAGGAATTCGTCATGCATTCGACTTCATTAAGTATCGTTGGAGGTGACTGAATACATATCTGGCCCTTACAATGATTCGCGGTGGCTTACCGATATATCGAGGCAATGTTGCTATGCTCCCAGACAAGTCTGGTACCAATTTACCAACTCCGAACGAATGGAAAGCTTGGTGAACCACGGGCGCAGGGATTGAGTCCATTTGTGTGTCGCAGGGCGTCTCCGACCACTGCGCCACACGTCCCCTTCGTAAAATTACGCCAAGTTTTCCCGTCCATGTAGGTCAGCACGGTTACTATCTTCATCTTTTCCTTGTTCTACATTCAATTCTTACAAAAGAGTGAGTAAATATCTTTAGCATGTTTAATAAACATAGTGAACGTTGATAGCAAAACACCAACTTGAAAACGTTCCTGATTTCAGCGAATTCACTGGTGGTCACACCATTAATTGGATCGTTTTTAACCTTAAAGTGAAAACAAATCGAATATAGAATTAATAAAATGCTTCATTTCACTGTTTCATGAAGTCCTCAATAAGTTTGAGAATTAAACGCCAAAAATCTCTTCACTTTTGTGAAGTTTCACTAACATCATTTCCTCGCCTCTCTCTTTTTCGGGCTCTGAAACAATACAAGAGATAACGATGTAAACCTTTCTATTTACGGCTTATTACAATTTTTTGCGGCAGGATGTTGTATGTGAAACAGCCACAATGTTGATGAGATATTTGCAGAACTCCTGACCACAGGTGTCCGCGGTGGGGAACGAACGCGCTATTATTCTTTCCAGAGGTTAAAGCGTTCACCACCACGCCATGCGGGCCCTTCGTTTCGCCTGTCGCTCAGCTCAGATTGATCCCGTTGACGAGTGAATCGCGACGGATTCTGATACGTAGAGATCAGATGTATTGCTTTTTGAACAAATTAGACCTTAATAGATCCTAGAACTGTTTCTGTAGTCTCTGCAAATTTCGCTAATTTCCTCTGCAGTACTATGATACTCGGTGTCTTTTGAGGTATTGCTTGTGTGTTTCGATACATTAAGGTCTAATCGCGAGAGATTCTGATAGCTAGAGATCAGATGTATTGCTTTCTAAACAATTTAGACCTTAGCGTACTAATCTTCGTGCACAATGCGTGTCTAGTGGAGTGTTTTGTTCGACTTTAAGTTTTCCAGCTTTTATACGGAAGCTAAGTAGTCTACCCGTTTTGCCAAAATATTCGGCTCTGCATGCTTTGTAAGAGTTTAGGTATACCGCGCCCAAGCTCATGCAATTACTGTCTCTACGGATGGGACAAATTATGCAATTTGATGTTTCGAATAGGCGGTCATACAATCGCTTACGAACTAGTTGATGTTTTAGAGTGTTCGGTGATACTCCATTCTTTGCTACCGATTTTTCAAAATGGGCCCTATTTAAGTAACACATTTGTAAATAAAAGAAGAAGAGATAAAGCTCTTGGTGTTGATCAGTCCCTGAGGAATCCACCATGCATTCGACTTCACTAAGCACTGTTGGAGGTGATTGAATGCATATTTGGCCTTCACAGTGACTCGCAGTGGCCTACCAATGTATCGAGCCGGTGCTACTATCCTCCCAGACAAGTCTGGTACCAATTTGCGACTCCAGAGAGACAGAAGGCTTAGCGAGCTTGGGGCACGGAGATCGATCCCATGTGTGTATTGCGGAATGCCTCCGACCACTGCGCTATGAGCGCCGCAACACATTTGTAGCGGTGCTTTATTAAATGGAAATGAAGAGCATGATGAACAGGACCTTATTCTCTCCAAATTTATCGCTTGCATAGTGGTTTTCTTCCATATCTATCCCGATGAGCTACAGCTTCGTAAGGATTGGAAATGGTCATTTAGCGCGTCAGTCTCATGCCAACTTCCCTCTGCTTTGTTCCGGTAATGGTGGGTGTTCGGGTGTTGCCAGTCGTCCTTAGGCAGTCGTCAGCCACGTGCGACTATAATCAGCTGTTCTAAACTTCCTCATTGGAAGTCACGAAAAAAGCGGCTCTGAAGAAGGCGATATTGCCGAAACGTCAGCTAGCGTTGTATTGTATTGTGTTTTTATGGAAGTAAATGTATGCTGTTTAAAAACCTCGCGATTGCTGAACAAGAAAACGACACATTTATATTCTAATGCCGAGGTTAAGAGAAAGTCGATCCTGGGAACTATCTCTCCAATGTTTTTTAGTAAATAATAAGTTAAAATTGTGATTATAACTATAGCCTGAGCTTAACTGGGTTCGTTGCCGGTTTGGGCTCGTCAAATCAATCCCGCTGACGGGTGATTGCTGATGGCAGAGATTGATAGACCTAGCTGAGAGACAGGCGAAACGAAGGACCCGGATAGTATGGTGGTGAATGCGTTACTCCCCGGAAAGGACAGTAGTGCGTTCGTTCCCCACCGCAGGTGTCTGCGGTGGGGAGTTTTGCAAATATCTTAGCACTAATTGAAGTTATCTCTCCAATGATATCCATTTTTTAGGAAAAACCGGAACCGAATTAGCTTTCACCTTCCCTTTCATTACAGTCCATTTCGCGCTATTACAACAACTGACCCCAGTATAACAACGCTATCTAAATAATATGGCACTGTAAAGGTATTGCTGACATATCTCTATGTTTCTGCTTTTTCAGAGAGATCCCACAACTCACGTTCTACTCGCTTCTCTGGAGAAGTTGACACGCGCTCATAAAGGCAACAAATTTAATCTCGGACAGTCAGACTCTCTAAGCGACATATCAGAGCGACGAATAGCTTCCCATACACCAGACGAACGTTTGGTGACAGCAAAAGAATCGTTAGTACGTAAAGGACCATCACCGAAAAAGCCTGCAGTACGAGAAGAAACTAGACCTCTTCTGAAGGAAATCAATTTGAAAGCGTTACCGTCTAAAGAAATCACAACTATATTAACGCCAAAACACTCCAATCTGACGAAGAGCGAAAATGCTAAGGCAAAACAGGACGTTAAGAACTCTGCTGGCGTAATACAATCTGTAAAATCACAAAAAATCACCATAGACAATGGACAGGACAGAAAACCGTCCACAAAGGGAAAATTCACCTTACTTCCATTTCTTAAGAAGAAGAAATAAGTGTTCTACGTTAAATTTCTTAATTAAAAGTCTTCAATGAGAAGCGTTGTTTTGGATTTTGATTTGTTTTGTGATGGGTAATAATCTTCATCAGTATTTGTTCATTAACATGTAGAAATTGTATCGAACACGTTAAATCCATTTAGATACATGGTGTTTATGCATCTTCAATCCTACTATTGTACTGAATCTCTCAGGTCGCATGATAGGTATCGATGAAGCCTGTCCCACCCAGTTCTCGATACCACCCTATGGGTTGGACTTGCTATTAAGCATACGAAGGTATTAGGATTTTCATGTAATGCTTTTTTTAACTGTGTGTGGCGAAAAATCATATACCGCTTTCCCGAGAAGGTGGTGTCGTATGGCTACGTATACCTACGCAGCCTGTTCGTAAGATGATGGTAAACCAAAAGCCCATGGTTTTCATCCAAGCTAAATCAGCACCGAAAGTACACCGAAACACTACCGAAACAATCGCCATGTATTCCTTTATTCGTACTGTGAAGTAATGGAGTCACCATTACATAGGCAACGATAGCAAAGATAGCGATCACGGCTATGTAACCCGAACGACATATTTCTCCCAAAATATCCTCTGTATCGCCCATCCTACCATCGCTATACTATCGACGATAGTATGGCAAAATATTTATTTATGTGATCTTATAAACTGATCTTAAGGTGACGTGAGGTTGGTACAGATCTTCCTTGTCGTTGTCGTTGTTTTTGATGTTATTGATCGATGGCCGACGTTTCGGCGACTTCGCCTTCCTCAGAGCCTCGACGTATTTTATATTAGAATATTTTTATTATTCGGTGGAAAAGAAAGGTTAAAGTATTAATGAGGATCAAACTTTCAAATAGACGCCAGCTAAAATCCCTTTAAACACCCCTCTAGGTACGCATAGGGCACAAAAGCACAACGGCGATGATTTTGAAGTGACTGTGCGGATCCTAGCGCAGGAATCAAAAACATCAACTCTTGAGGCGTTTTGGATAAATTTCAAAAGCCCAAAGATGAACCGTAAGGACGAACGCCTCACTATCACGCTTGACCTGGCGCCCTATTTCAAAATGATATTTTAACTCGGGTGTGTCTTGCTCGCCATCCCACGTGAACTACGTGTGGGCCAGTCCCGCACGTAACATCACGGTGAGTGGTCTTTCTGTTCAATATGGCGTCTATTTAAAAGTTTGATCTTCATTAATATTTTAACCTTTTTTCCACCGAATAATAAAATCATCCTAATATTAAATACGTCCAGGCTCTGAGGAAGACGAAGTCGCCGAAACGTCGGCCATCGATCAATAACATCAAAAACAACGACAACGACAACGAAGACCTGTACCAACCTCGCGTCAGCCTAAGAAGATCAGTTTATAAGATCACATAAGTAAACATATCAACTATCTATGCCGAGGTTTATAGAAAGTCCGTCTTTCGAGTTATAGCAAAATAAATCAGAAGAAGCAGTGTGCTCTGCATTAAGGTGTTTTAAAAAGACTACTGAACAATCTAGTGATTTTTTCGCTGTACAGTGGATAAAAAAGGATAAACCTCTCGGCGTTGATCAATTCCTGAGTAATGCGTAATGCATTTAACTTCATCAGGTATCGTTAGAGGTGCTTTAATGCATGCGTGACGTATGCAATTACTTGCGATGCTATCGTGTCAGTGCCTACCCTTTCTGACAGGTCTGATGGCAGTTTGTGGTGCCCTGAGAATGGAATGCCTCGTGAGCCTGGAAAACAGGATTAAGCCCAAGTGTGTTGCAGAGCGCCTAACCACTGGGCTAGACGTGTCCCCATACACTGGGTAATGAAATAATATTATCACCGGCAAATGACAAGCAAAGTGCAATTGATGGTCGAGAAATTACTACTTTTCGAACATCTCAAACGATTAGTGATGAGAAAAGGAATACTTGCAAGGTAGGAAAACGAAATTTTAATAAATCCTTGCATCTTTCGGATCGTGCAGGGAAAAGCCACAGCATGGTTGTTTTGTTAGGAGCCGATTCCTCTAATATTATTGTGTTTATATGTGTTACGTCTGACTATACCTGTTTCCTTGGTCTCTAGATTGGCAGGGCAGTAATGGACTGAAATACTGTTGAGGGAAAGACAGTGTATGCTTTGCAAGTATCCATTTTTAATCAACACAGAGATCGCCCGTCACCGAAGTGTCCGCCGTAACTCTACATAGGTATCGACGACTATTTTGTCCGGAGAAATCAATGAAAGACTAGCAACCATTCCTCAAGGAAACCAACCCATCCTAAACTATAAAGCGGTAGAGAAATCCAGCTAATAAAATCATACTGGTTCATTACCTTTTCTCTCACCCCTCACACACAAAACACGCGCTTATGAAAAACATGTTTCGAACACCCACCATTACCGGAACAAAGCAGAGGGAAGTTGGCATGAGACTGACGCGCTAAATGACCATTTCCAATCCTTACGAAGCTGTAGCTCATCGGGATAGATATGGAAGAAAACCACTATGCAAGCGATAAATTTGGAGAGAATAAGGTCCTGTTCATCATGCTCTTCATTTCCATTTAATAAAGCACCGCTACAAATGTGTTGCGGCGCTCATAGCGCAGTGGTCGGAGGCATTCCGCAATACACACATGGGATCGATCTCCGTGCCCCAAGCTCGCTAAGCCTTCTGTCTCTCTGGAGTCGCAAATTGGTACCAGACTTGTCTGGGAGGATAGTAGCACCGGCTCGATACATTGGTAGGCCACTGCGAGTCACTGTGAAGGCCAAATAT